TGTGTAAGTGTCTGACCAAATTAGCCTAGTGGTAGCTTGACTGGGACTGGGAAGCTATTTCCAGAGCCCTTCTCTGGTGTTTTATGCTTAATTTTAAGTATCTAAGTATGCTCTTGGCTGAGATACTCTTTATCAATTTCCAGCCCAAGAAAGAGATTTTTTTTTTTTTTAAGAGAAGAAATAGCAGACTGGTTTGCAGGCTGGATTGCATTGGTTAAAGCACAGGGCAGACCTCAGACAAGTGGTTTAACCTCTCTGAGTCTTGGTCCCCACATCTGTAAAGTGGGAGGATTAGGTGAGATTGTATATATAAAGTGTTTAGCATAGCACCTAGCATGCTACAGCAGGGCAATTACTTTTCACTGTTAGCTGTCCTTTCTAATAATGAGATGAGGTGCTCAGAAAAACACAGTGATTTCAAATGAGGCATTTGGTAGTAATTTTACTTGGCTCTTGCAAGACAGACTGTCAAACATCCTTTGGGAGATTCGAGAGAGCGGCCACTTCTAGCTTTGCATTGGGCCTTCTGATGTGGATAGAAGGCAAGGAGAGGCTGTCCTGGCCAAAGCCATTTTCACTGGCTTTGGGACAGCAACCAAGACAGGTTCCTGAGTTCTGCCTGGATAATCCTTTGGGCCAGCCCTCTGCCTTCACTGTCCCTGCTAGGCAGGAGAGGAAGTTTCAGCGTTTAGTTATATAGGATTTAGACAAATCCTGGGGTTCATTCATTCATTCACTCACTCACTAGTTTCACAAACATTTCTTGAATACCTGCTGTGTACCAGGCACATTGTGCCACAAATAGGCACAATGATAAGCGGGACACATAGTCTCTGCCTCTCTCAGCTTGATTATTAGAGAAGATGGACATTAAACAAATAATTACACAGATAATTGTATTCTGTAATTACAATAAGTGCTGGGGCTTTTCCTTAAGTAACGGAACTTCCCCTTGGTGCCTCTCTTGGTCTGAAATACACTGTAATATATAATACTTTACTCTTGAGAAAAGGAAGCAGAAACCAAGGTCCCAGGATGAAATGTTCAAATAATATTCATAAATCTCATGATCATGTACAGGAATGCTGAGGATAGCAGAGTGAAAGTTGCCTGTTGTCATCGTCTTCATCTGCTTTTGGAGATCATGTCAGTCTTGAGACATGACATGCTTTCTGGCATAGCTCATTTTTGGTTCTCCGTGGGGAAATAGGCTCAGAAAGCGTGATAGACTTTTCAGTGCTTGTGGTCTCACTCTTGGGAAGAGGAACTAGAAGGCAAGCCCCATGCAGTTTCCCCACGTCTGGGCAGAGCAGGGTCTCCAGCTCTCTTCAGAGCTGCGTTGGCACCTCTGGCACTCATGTTGGTTACTAGGTTAGAGTTTTAGACCTTTAAACATTCTTCATACTGTTTGAAGAAGCTACAATTAACGTCTCCCAAGCAGCTCAGCAGAACTTGGTTGCTAGGCAGCAGACCTTTAAAGACAATTTGTCAACTTCTGCCAAAAGAGAAAAATAGTAAACATTCACATTCTTAGAAAACTGCTTGTTTTCCAGCTTCCAACTTCCTTGCCATGGCAAGGCCTCCAGTTCATCAGTGTCCGTTTTATTATTTATTTAGTTTTCGTAAATAATTCAGAGGCATTTTAGGAGAATAACTGAGCCTTTTTTTGGAAGCCTAACCTTTGGCGATTCAAGACAGAAAGATGTTTGGGTTGCCCTGTTTGTGGACAGGTTTTTATATGAGTATTCAGGGGTTCCTTTGGAAGGGACAGAGTCCCCAGCTGTATCCTCGGGCAGCTACCCAGAAAGATGGTGGCAGATCCACGGGAGGCTCTTCAATCATTCAGCCTTAGTTAGCACCTAGCATGTGTCAGGCCCTGCGTGCACTGTTGCAGCCTGTAGCCTGGCCAGACCTCACTGAGCTTACCTTCTAGTGGGGAAGACCTGGCAGGAAACCAGGGGATACCAGTAGAGGGGCTGTGGGAGTCAGAGGAAGCCCAGAACCCAGCCCGGCATCAGGGAAGCCTTCCTCAAGCAGTTGTGGGCTGGAGTAACACCCTAAGGGTGAAACAGGCCGCCCCCACTTTGGCAGGGAGAAGTGTCCCAGTGGGGTCCTCCCCTGTGCCAAGTGTGAGACGTGCTTGGAAGGGAGACTGACTACTAATGCAGTCGTGGCTCGTCCTGAGGGCAGTGAGAAGACAGTAGAAAGCCACTGGAGAACTTGGAACTTGCAGAGGTCACCATCTGATTTGCATATTCCAGCCTTTGGGGAAACCCCTTGATTTGGCTTTGGGTTAATTCAAGGGCATTGGCAGTGAGCAGGTGGCCAAGAGGGACGAGGTTGCCGAGGAGTGCTGGATGGCTCCAGAGTTGTCTGTCTGGGTTCCTTTGCCACTTCTAACATGTAGGACCTTGTGTAGGTTATTAAACTAACCTGAGTCCCACGTTTCTCTAACAGCATCCACCTCACAGAGTTGGAATAGGGGCTAACAGTTAATTGAAGGACAGCCATTAGATTGGTGCTGGGCACACTGTGTTCTTTTAAGCATTGACTGGTACCTGTAAGATAGTGCTGCCTTTCCTCTCCTTCCATCAGTCCTCTGCCCAAGGGGCCAGTGGCGTCCAGTCACACCACGTGAAGCTTGCAACTCTCTTGGGACCAGACTCTCTCTCTCTCTCTCTCCTGAATCTCCTTAGCTGAGTTGAGCATAGGATCCTTTCCTGCTCTTGAGTTCTCAGCACCGAGCCTGTTCTTAGGACAGAGCCACCTCTCCCCCGCTGGTGTGGCTTGGCACTCTGTCTGCACCTGCAGACCAGGGCTGCCTCTTGCTCCATTCGCTCCACGTACTTGGATTGTTTTAGCTCTGGATGTATCCATGAGGTGTCTCTCCAGTTCATGGGGGTTCAAAAAGCACTGCCAAGGAGCCAGCTGTGGTCATCAGACTTATCAGGTAACTCCCCAGAGGGGCCCTTTTGTTCACTCATTTATTTAATCATTCTCTCAGTATTTATCGAGCATCTACTATGTGCCAGTCACCCTGCCAAGCCCTGAGAATGTTGCAGAGAACAGGACAGGTGTGGCAGGAGAGATGCCAAGAAGCAAGGAACATGGCACACACCAGTTAATTTTCAGAAGTATACATACTCGGAAGTGAGACAGGACCATGGGCTGGAAAGTGGCTCTGTTGGGTGGTTGGCCACCCTGAGTTGGAGTGATCAGGGTGATCCCACGAGGCACCATTTGAACTATAGCTCAGGAAAAGGGAACAGCAAGAGATTTCAGACTCACCAGTGCCTTTTTGGAGGGGCACACAGTGACACTGGGCTCTGGAAGGGGCAAGATGACAGGCTTTCCCTGGAGGATGGTTCCTCATGGCATTCAGAGCAACAGGGCATTAGATGTACCACGTAGGACTTGCCAGGGTTGGGAGAACTTTAAGACAGTCACCAGGCTGCTGTGGGTTCAGTTTACCTCTGCCGGGTCCTGAACAGGGGGCCCCAGAGGGAAATAACCTGGCCCCAGCCAGCAGAGGGAGGGAGGGTGCTGAAGGACAGCACAGAAGCACCCACTACCTGAGTTTATGTTCTTATATCAGTTGTCTTGCTAATAAGATATGCAAATTATCAGGGCTGTGAAATCTTTGCCACATTTCATCTTCTGTGTAATTAGCATTTAATCGTAATCTCATTTTAATTTTTTCACACTGACACCCTAATTAAATGTTAGGGTGTTAGTCTTAACAATTAAATTATATTGGCAAATAGAGTCTTCAAGAAACTTGACCTTTTGCAAGCAAGGGCCCTCTCTGGCTAGAAGCAGACGTTAATTAGATTTCTGCAAGATGCTGCCTTGAGCCCTCTTGGCGCCCCCTTTCAGTTGTCTCCTAGATTCAAGTGAGACAGACAGCCAGCAGGTGGGGCCTCCTGCAGGCAGAGGTTACCAGTGAATGGCCACCACCCCTCGAAGGCTGGTCTTCCAGGGAGGGGAGTGGGCTTGGAGTTGGGTCTGAAACCTGGAGGACTCCCTATAGTGGTTTCTCTTCTCTCTGTGACATGAACTCTCCTTTAACCTGTGATGTTCACTGGGAAGGTTGGTACCAAAGCAAGTCACATAGTGTCTAGAGCTGCCACCAGATCCTACAGCAGCCCTTGGTGGGACCCAGGTGAGGCCAAGCAGCTGGGACAGACGAGGCGCTGCCAGTGCTCCTGGGGCTGGGCGTGGAGGTTGCTTTGGGGTGGGGGGCCACAGATAGAACCCTGGGAAAAGAAGTTTCCCCGAGTGAGCAGGTGCTCACAAGGAAACCAAAGCATGCGAATGTGTCCACTCATGGCCTGGCCCCAAGGGGTTTGGAAGGGCTTGGTTGAGAAGGAATTCAACACGCTTCTCCTTCCCCGTCACATATAGAGCATGGCACAGCGGAGCACCCACTGAGTAGGACATATGGTACCGTTGTTCTTCAGGGACCATGGAGACCCTGAGCCATGGGAGGCTGTTCTCTAGGCTGTCCAAAGCCTGGCCTCTCCCTCGGCTATTTGCCTGAGGCCCTGGCATGTAGTTGCCTGGATTCTTTTACACTTGTGACTGTGGTTACAACAACAAACATAATTTTGAATCTTCAACAGAAATTCCCTAAACAGACACTTCATGGCAGTATTGCATTCACACAAGCCTTTCTGCCAACTGATTTTTTTCCTCAGTATTTTTTGCCTTTCCCACATGTCTTTCCTCTTCTCTCTAAGGTCCACTCCTATCCATCACTCAGACTGTCCTTGAGCAGATCTGAGCATGTAAATTCAATTCAACATTTATTGGAAATCTTCTGTGTGCAAAGCACTCTGCTGGGTTCAGGGAAGATGGGTTATTGTACTTACTGCTTTTGTGTCGTATTCTCATTTTGAGTGAGTGGGCTTTTAGCATTTGCCTTTTCCTGCCCTGGGCTGTGAAGCAGATCACCTGAAGACGACCTGAAACCATTCTTTCTCCACCTTGTCTCCCCACAGGTTTTCCGGACAGACTTGATCACAGCCATGAAGATCCCAGACTCGTACCAGCTCAGCCCGGATGACTACTACGTCTTGGCAGACCCATGGCGGCAAGAATGGGAGAAGGGTGTGCAGGTGCCCGCCGGGGCAGAGGCCATTCCCGAGCCCGTGGTGAGGTGAGCTGTGGCACCCAGGCCAGGGGCCATAGGGAGGGGAGGCAAGGACCAGGAGAAGGGCGTGCAGGTGCCCGCGGGGGCAGAGGCCATTCCCGAGCCAGTGGTGAGGTGATCCGTGGCGCCCAGGCCAGGGCCCATAGGGAGGGGAGGCGTGGGGCCCAGGCCAGGGGCCAGAGGAAGGGGAGCCGTGGCGCCCAGACAAGGGGCCATAGGGAAGGGAGGCGAGGACCAGGTAAGGGGTTCCTTTCTGGTCTGTGTCTATTCTGTTTCTTTTGTTCTTGAAAAAACATTGCAGTGTTCCAGAAATACTGCAGTTTTATCTCTGAGGCCAAGGTTTTGAGCTTGGGTTCATCTCTTGAGCCAGACAGCCTGGGTTCAAATTGCCTCTCAAGTTCAGTGGGACCTTGGGCAGGGAATGTAATCTGCCTAGGCATCAGTTTCCTTGTCTATAAAACGGGGATGATAACAACAGCACCTGTCCTATGCAGTGGTCAAGATGATGTAGAGAAATGATGCGTGGAAGGCCCTGGACACAGGACCTGGCCCACATGAACACTCAGTGAAAACTGGCCGTGGATTAGCTTGGTGTCGTTCTAAACTGGGTCCCTCCAGAAGATCTTCTTGGGGATATCTCCAGACCTCTAACTAGTCCTTAAAATAGGACAAACTGTGCTCTTGGCTTCTTAAAACCTTTTTGAGGAGTTCTTGGGAACTCCTTGGGAGCAAGAAATCCAGTGCTTGGTACACAAAACAGTTGCTGTGATCAGATTCTGAGGAGGGCCCGCTGCCTCCTAGGAATCAGGATTGGATCAGGGCTGAGTCCTCTCTGGGCTCGGGAGCCTTGTGGTCTTGTAGGTCAGAGAGACTCCTGTGCTCTTGTCAGGAGGTGGCCTCGTGGCCGTGGGCCTTGCTTCCAGTGACAGAATTCAGCCGAGTGCTTCTTCCTGCACCCTGGGAAACCCTCCAAGTCATGTCTTGGGCCATAGGGGCCTGCTGTCCTGGCCCTCCATCCCCCCCCGCACATCAGCCTGCCGGGGCTGGGCAGATTTGTGTTAACTGACAGTCCATTCCCAGCCTTGGCAGCCCTGGGGCTCTCGCTTAGGTCCATTTTGCCAGGGCCTGGGGCAGAGATTTCAGCTGTCACCTCCCGTGACGTTGGCATGGATGCTTCCCTGGCTCACACCTGTGACAGGCTCACAGACACCCAGTGCCTGCCTGGTGCCAGGCCTGTGCTGGGCATGTGATTTCAGAGGCAAAGCACATACCAAGCCCCACTCGGTGCCCAGTGAGGATTGGGTATGGGGCAGCGTTTAGCGTCCTGGGCTCGCCAGGCCTGTTATCTTTGGCCCTCAGAATCAGGGAAGCTCCAGGCCTCTCTGGACGAGAGTATATGTGGAGTTTGGAGAAAGACTTTATTCTACACGTCCTCTGCCCAGGGCCAAAAACGTGGGTCAGGCTCCCAGCCAACTTCACCCTGTCTACTCTACAGACCAAAGAACTGCAACCGACCTCTTTGAACCTGTTTCCTTCTCCATAAGATGGATCTAATAACAGTATATGCCTGATAGTGTAGTGGTGAGGATTAGTTGAGAATTCACATGCCAAGGGCCCAGGGTAGCAAGGCAGAGGGGTAGGCCACCAGCGGGGCGGAGAGGGGTGAGTCCTGATTAGGCTTGGCCCAGCGGTTTGTCCTCTGTCCTCGATGTCAATGTCAGGTGGTTCTGGAAGCATCTGCCGGCCTGGGTGATTAATTGCAGATGCCGCCACACAAGTAGCTTGGCTTCAGTCGATGTCTTATCTGTTGAGATCACGACGGAAGCATGTGTTCACACAGCTCTGGCCCTACTAGGTACATTCCCCACATACACACAGGTCTAGGCTGACCAGAGCCAGGCACGCCTGGCCTATCCTGCTCTTTGGAGAGGATAAGACTGGAAGGGGAGGGATGCTCCCATGGAGATAGCTCTGGGCCCCATCTTTCCCTGTCTCCTTGCAGCCTGGCACCTCCACCTGCCGGGCCACCTTTACCTTCACAGCTCTCACCTGGAAGCTGGCACAGCAGGCGCCGTGGTCAGAACTGTTCCAGGAGCTCTGTTCCTGAGAACTTGCTGTGCTGAGCCTCAAGTTCATCTTCTCATCTAATTATCATATCAGCCCTCTAAAAGGCACACTGCTGTCCCCATTTTATAGAGGAGGAAGTTGGGAAATTCTGGGGAATTCCCTGCATGACCGCCAGGGCCTTGTGGGCTGGGCCAGGAAGTCACAAGCCACAGGAACAGGCCCTGGGCTGCCTCTGTGTGGCCCAGAGAGAGTCTCGTGCCCCAGTCACCCTGGCTTGCGGACTCTGCCCTCCCCCACTGCCTCCCTGGCCCCCTCCATCCCTCTCTTCTTGCCCAGTCCTCCCTGGCCCCCTCCATCCTTCTCTTCTTGCCCAGTCCTCCCTGGCCCTTGAGCAGGCCTACCCACCTCATGGTCCTGAACATCTCTGGATAATGAGAACCCCTCACTGTCACATCATGAACTGAAGGAGGGCCTGCACTGTTCTTCGGGGGTGGCCGAAAGACACAGCCCAGGGCAAAACCAGCCTCTATTTTCTATCTGGTCTTCTGGAGTGAGAGCCTCCCGCCCCCCCGCCCTCAGATCCCAGCCGAGCCACCCATCTCCTCCCCGCTGACCTCGGTTCTACTGGCTGCAGCCAAGACTGAGGCCTTGACTGAGGGTGACGTGAAACCACCCGTGATAGGAGAGCCTCCTCCATAGTCGGAGCCAGAAGAGCCAGACAGGTGACGATGAGTACCCCAGGAAGCACAGGAAATGCCTTTTCTGTTGACAGTCCTTTAACCCCAGCTTCCCAGAGGAAGGAATGTGATCTTGGCCCCAAGAGGTCTGGCCAGGTACGTCCCGAGCACATACTGTGGGTAGTTAGGCCATTAGGCGGTGGGTGCTCGGGCTATCCCAAACCCCAGCTGAGCATATTCTGGGGACACAAACAAAGCAGGGTCGTGACAAAATGACAATGTTTTTGAAAGAATGTGTTAATTTAAATAAGAGCCTCCCAAGGCAAGGCAGAACTTTGTAGGACTCAGAGTCCTGCAAAGCAAATACTATTGCTTCTATTTGAAATGGTCTGGGATTGGGGGGTGGGCATCACGTCATTCTTGTTGCCTAGGACTTTCCTTAATCTGGGCATCTTGTGTGGCGGAAGGTGACTCTAAGCCCCTTCCCTTGTATCCTTGCCTCCCTCAGTCTCCTCTGGGCCTCCCTCCTGCCTGGAGGCCATTCTGCGCCCCCCGCCCTTCATCCTACCTCCCCCTCTTGCCAACACCCGGGACTCTTCCTGAAGCCCCAGAGCCCTCCCCATAGCTGTGCCATGTCTGTGCGCCCCTGGCCCTGCCTTCCCCTTTCCAGTCTGCGCTGAGTCACAGCCCCTGGCAGCCCTGCCTTCGACCCCAGGAGGCCTCTTGGGCAAGTAAGGGGCCTCTCAGCCCTGGCAGGGCCGGCCAGATGGAGGCCAGACTCCACGGCAATAACCATGGCAACTGGTAGGGGGTGGGAAGAGCTGGCATTCTGAACTGGCATTAGGAACTGAGGGGCAGCACACAGCTGAGCCAAGAGAGGAAGCCATGCCCTCCCAAGGCAGAAAACCCTCATATTCCATTTCAGAAGGAGCAAAGTGATATCCAGAGGTCTTAAAATACACACTCACATGAATATAGCGCTTACTACATGCCACTCAGAGTTCTAAGAGCTCCACACGTGTTCGTCCATTTAATCCTTATGCCAACTGTGGAAGCTAGGTGCTGTTATCATTAGTCCATTTTCTGGGGTGCAGAGGAGCTAAGTGGCTTACCCAGTCACACATTAAGTGGTGGAGCTGGGCTTGGAGACCTCGCCCTGTAGCCAGGACCCTTGCAAGCTGCCTCCGAGGCAGAGCCATGGCCTGAGAGAGGGCTGGCCTGAAGTGTGACCCTGGGACTGTAGCAGGTGTATCCTCTTCACCCCAGAGGAGCCCTGGTCTCGGGTCCCCTGAGGCTACTGGTGGAGGAGTGGGGGGGCCTTTCCCCAGCTTTGAAAGGGTATATGGAAGGACCTGGGGGCCAGCTGGCCCTATCCAACTTGTGCCAAAGTGACTGGCACTGGGCATTGCCCAGGTCGGCAAAGGGAATGGCCGCCTACAGCCTCTGCAGGGTGGGCAGGTGGGAGGAGGGACTGGAAGGAGGCAGGCCCTGCTTGGCATCAAAGTCTCACACCTCACTTTCCTGCTAGCCCCTCAGTCAGGCTGGCCAACTCCCTGGGGGTGGCCCTCAGAGCCAGCAAGAGTAGCAGGCCGAGGGCACCCTCTCCTCATATCTTCTCTTGAATTCCTAGGATTCTTCCACCGTTGGAAGGCCCCCCTACCCAGGTGTCCCCTAGTGGCTCTGAACTTGGTGAGGGCTCCCAGCCTGATTGGCCAGGGGGCAGCCGCTATGACTTGGACGAGATTGATGCCTACTGGCTGGAACTCATCAACTCAGAGCTCAAGGAGATGGGTAGGTGACCTGCCAGGTGAGAATGGGACGGGGCCAGGCCACACAGGGTCTTCTTCTAAACCTCTCAGAATGGCAGTGGCCACTGCTGGGCTTTGGCACTCCACAGGTCTGGGGGAGAGTCCCTGCTATGTTACTGATTACTGTGCTTCAATTTCTGTAGTTTTCAGATGGAGGCAGTAATAGCATGTCATTTACAGGGTTTGGGGGAGTATTATATGACTGAGCGTGCACCCACACACTTAGTAAGCCTGACTGTTACATGAGGAGTGAGTGAGCACTTAGAAGTCTAGTGTGACACATGGGGCTGGGGTCAGGTGGTATGGGCCTTCTGGCTGAAGGCCCACCATGTCCCAGAAAAGGCCAGCTCTGCTGGATTCAGCCACCTTCTCAGGTGACCCCCATACACACAGCTCAGGCAGTGGGTTCCCCATGGCAGCGGCTGCATCCCAGAGACAGACACCCTCATAGCATCTGTGTGTACACAAGCGTGTGTGTGTGGAGTCACAACACCATACCAGGCCTCCGGGGCCTTTGCATGGTCAAACCCAGTCGGTTTTCAGATGACAGAACTGGGGCCGGAGACAGTAAACACAGTGTGCAGGTAGAAACGCTCCTGTCCACCTGCTCCGAGAGGCTGGGCTTCTGACCCCCTGCCCTGCTATCCTCGCAGAGAAGCCAGAGCTGGACGAACTGACGCTCGAGCGTGTGCTGGAGGAGCTGGAGACGCTGTGCCACCAGAACATGGCGCGGGCCATCGAGACACAGGAGGGGCTGGGCATCGAGTACGATGAGGATGTCGTCTGTGACGTGTGCCGCTCTCCCGAGGGCGAAGATGGCAACGAGATGGTCTTCTGCGACAAATGCAACGTCTGCGTGCACCAGGTGGGCAGCCCCCACGGCCACTGCTGTGTGATGCTGGCAGGCCCCTGCCTGACCGCTCACCCTGGCTGTGGGGGTGTAGCAGCGCTGTGGGCACAGGCCCCTAACGAGGGCAAGTGGGGAGAAGGGGAGGGTGTGAGTGCCCATGGTGCCAGGGTTTAGCCCCCTCAGCCAGATCTGAATAATGCCTATTGGATGGTCTTCCTGTCCTTTGCCGCCAGCCTCCCTCAGACTCTGCCCACGGACCGTCCTACCCCGTCCTCCTCTGCTCCTCCACTCACAACGAGGCAGCACAGTGTAGTGATGGAGAGCACAGCCTGGAGCCAGGCCACCTGGTTTCAAATTATGGCTCTGCCTTTCGCAAGCTGTGTGATTTGGGGTCGGTTTCTTGACCTCTCTGAGCTGCTGTTTCCTCAAGTATAAATAAAAGTAAGTCGTGAGGATTAAATTCCTTACTCTGAGTCATTTGGTTAGAACCGTACAGTAAGGGCTGTTCATATTTGTTAACATTATTAGTATTATGAGCCAGATGCGGCCTGACTAGGCTCCCCTGTTGATATTGAGCCCCAAGGCTGTAGGTCTGGGGCATCTCTGGGCCTAATTCATGGAAGATGTGGAAGACCTGACTAGAACTCAGTGGACCCACTCTAGCCCTGACTTTGAGGCCTTTCCTCACCCACTTTTGCTGGAATAGTGCCCAGGGAGCTCAGAGTGGCTTCTCCTGGGTGGCAGGTGGGTAGGTGGTACACCACTTTCCCCATTCACCCTGTTCACATCCCTTACACCCAGCAGCTCTTAGGTCCATAATCCCTAGGCATGACCAGAAGGATCCCTGATCACAGACACCTGTGAAAAAAGACGAAAGCTCTGGGCCTTGTCCGAAGGCAGCATACATACCCAAATTTGTATTCCGTTTAAGGGAGTTCCTGGATGCCCCTGAAATCCATCCTGGATTAGGAACCTCTGCTGAAGTGACTGTCCTCCCAGCAGAGGGCGGAGCTGAGCCCTTTCACAGAAGACTGTGAAACGGTGAAGTGTCAGTGCACAGTGCCTGCACAAAGCTTCACTGGAGCCCTTGCATTACAGTGCCTCAGGAGGTCTTTGGTGGGGCTGAGTAGCAGCGTCACTGTAGCTCCCAGTATGGGCTGGGACTAGGACTGTTTGCAGCTGGATGCACATTGCAGACGCACCTTGGCCATTGCCTCTGACCTGTGTCCTCCCTGCTCTCTCCCCAGGCATGCTATGGGATCCTCAAGGTGCCCACGGGCAGCTGGCTGTGCCGGACATGTGCTCTGGGTGTCCAGCCGAAGTGCCTGCTCTGCCCGAAGCGAGGAGGAGCCTTGAAGCCCACTAGAAGTGGGACCAAGTGGGTGCACGTCAGCTGTGCCCTGTGGATTCCTGAGGTGGGCAGAGGTGGGGGTGGGGTGGCCCTGGGGCCCAGCCATGGGGAAGTGGGTCTGAACAGAACTCAGAACCCAGATGGCAGAGCACTGGGAAAAGAAGGTGATGGGCTACATGAAATGGCAGATCCCAGATGTCCAGCTTGGGAAGAACTCAGGCAGCAGCCCACAGGGAACTTTACCCTTGGACCTAGGCAGAACTCGGTGGTGGTTTCCGTGGGAAAATGGGATTTTGAGCCACTAGGGGATCCAGGTGGTAGGTGTGCTAGCTGGACAGAAGTCAGGGGAGAGCAGGTTATAGGTTAACCCAGATCTAGACAGTGGCCCCAAGCAAAGTAAAACACTTGTTTAAAAGTGAGCCAAGTGACCCAAAAGGAAATCAGGTGGGGAGCCTGGTTAAAACTGGGTAGTAGGACTGTGGCTGGGATGGAGGGGAGGGGCTGTGGGTGACGGGCTGGGCCCACAGTGAATTAGCAGAGGCCTTGGGCTCCCATCTTATTTGATGTGTGAAATGCTGACATTCGCTGACGTTTCAGCCCTTCCCCTGCTGTGTGCCCTGAGCCAGAATGAGGCCCCACTCCAATGCTGCCTGTGCCCGGAAGCAAGCCAGGTGGCCCGGTCAGCAGGTGGCCCCTCCCTTTCCTGGGATTGCAGTCTGAAAGCCCTTGCTGCGTCCCACCTCGAAGGTTTCTGTGATCTTAGTGGTTATGTCAGCAGCGGTCGCTTGCTCCCACTTCAGCATCTTGAAGGCTGGGACGACCTCTGCGTATACCCTGGGCGAGGCACAGCAGAGACACAGAGAAGCAACCGGGACCTACTTATGGGACTCTTTGGTTCAGGATCTCTGGACAGGGACCCTCTTCCTATCCTCAGGCATGGGCTCTGCCTCAGGGCTGAAGGGTGGGCTGTGCCCAGGAGATGCGAGTGGTTATAGGCCTGTCCCCTTGGGAAGGGCTGAACAAAGGCACATCCCCCTTGGCCAGGAAAGCCCTGGAAGTCCCCAAGAAGAGATTCTGCTGTGGGGACCTATAGTTGCCACCCAGAAACATAAGCAAAATGAGTACCAGTTCTAATAACTCTGAAGATGCTGTTAACATAGGCTTGAGGTACAAAAGAGAAGGGGACCTTGCACACATACTCACCTGCACATGGAAACGTCTCTGTCTTGAGACCCACACAATCATGGGCACTCATATACTCAGTCAGCCTCACACACTGATGTATGCTCTCCCAGTCATTGTTTAAGCCTAGCCACCGGAGAGCACACACTAACGCTTGCTCAGTGGTCCATTTGGGACACAAGATAGGACGTGGGACTCTACCACTGCCCTGTCTGCCCACTGCCTGGTTTCAGCAGACAGTGGTCTCTTTGGGTAAGCCCTGGAGGCCGGCTAAGGATGAGAGGCCTGACGCAGCTCCCTGTGTCCTGCCCAGGTCAGCATTGGCTGCCCCGAGAAGATGGAGCCCATCACCAAGATCTCGCATATCCCAGCCAGCCGCTGGGCCCTGTCCTGCAGCCTCTGCAAGGAGTGCACGGGCACCTGCATCCAGGTACACGGCCCCTCCACCGTGCTGCTGCCTGGGAACCCACTCAGGGGGCTGCTACAGCTATGTCAAGGGGCATGTCCAGAACACCCTCTACAGCAGGCCGCTGCCACCACCCTCCGCCTGCCCCACGGTGCTGCCGACACAGCCACTGTTGGGCCTGCGATGGGGACCACAGTCAGCTCCCCATCTGCTGGACCTTCCTCCATCCATAGTATCACTGGGCATGGGGTAAAGGCCTGGGGAGCCAGGCTCACCACCCCATTATAGCACCAAGGACTCTGGCTTTCCTAACAGCACGTGTCTTTGGGCTTCATAAAGACGTTGACTTCCCTTCCAGTGTCAGCTGGACATGTGAGAGGAATAGGAATTAAACTTTACTTTGAGCTAAACTACTAGCTCTCCCTACACAGGGCAGGGCTGTGCTAGTTTGTTAACAGTAACCGCTCCCAAGTTCTAGGGTGCCTCAGTATGACCCAGAAGGCTTGTGAAAACACAGACTGCTGTTCCTACCCCCCCAGAGGTTCTGAATCTGTAGATTGGAGGTGAGGCTGAGAATTTGCCTATTTCTAGCAAGTTCTTGTGTGATACTGATGCTCCTGGTCTGTAGGCTGGGAGGTGGAAGGGTCAGCCTTTCTTTCTCTCATGTCTCCGGGAACAGTGGTCACTGCAGATACTGGACGTGCCTCCACCGTTTGTAAGATTCTCAGAATGGCTTGTTGAGTGCGGCATAAAGGGCCCCACTAATATTTTGGTGGGTTGTCACTGAAACACTTGGCAGCTGCCCACAGCCATCATCCCAGGCAACTAAGGCCGTGAGTTGGCCACACTTACCTGGACAAGAGAGGAAGGCAGGGGCCCAACTCCAGCCCCGCTTCCCAGAGGACAAAGGAGGGGCACAGCTCCCCATCTTAGATAATGTTGGAGGAGTAGAGGAGGCAGGGACCCATCAACAGCCTCTCTCTCTTGACGTCTCAGATTCCAAAGTCATTTGTCCACACAGAAATGCAGCTCGTCCTGAGAGAGTCTGTCAGTCACCTAACTGTTGCCATTTCCCTAGGGCTTATGATGCTGTACTCCATTTCCTTTTCAGCTCCCCCAGAGCTCCCCTGCCCTCTTCCATGGCCCCCTACCCCCGACACCGTTTTGTTTAGGGTCTCACCAGCATGCTGCCTTCCCAGTGTCACCCTGAGGGATGCCCCCCCATCCTTCTTCCCTCCCACCGGGGCTCCCTTCCTACCTCATGCTGCTCTTCGTCTCCCTCCAGTGTTCCATGCCTTCCTGCGTCACAGCATTCCATGTCACATGCGCCTTTGACCACAGCCTGGAAATGAGGACTATCTTAGCAGACAACGATGAGGTCAAGTTCAAGTCGTTCTGCCAGGAGCACAGTGATGGGGGCCCACGGGGTGAAGCTCCGTCCGAGCCTGTGGAGCCTAGCCCAGCTAGCGAGGACCTGGAAAAGGTGACTCTTCGGAAGCAGCGGCTGCAACAGCTGGAGGAAGACTTCTATGAGCTGGTAGAGCCAGCCGAGGTGGCCGAGCGCCTTGACCTGGCCGAGGCACTAGTCGACTTCATCTACCAGTACTGGAAGCTGAAGAGGAAAGCCAACTCCAACCAGCCGCTGCTGACGCCCAAGACGGACGAGGTGGACAACCTGGCTCAGCAGGAGCAGGACGTCCTCTACCGCCGTCTGAAGCTCTTCACGCACCTGCGGCAGGACCTGGAGAGAGTGAGTCCCCCTGCTGCTCCCTGCCCACCCTGGCGGGTGTCCCAGCAGGCCTTTCCACCCCTCCCTCGCTTCCCCGGAGCAGCCGTGGCTCACCAGGTTTCAAACGGTGAGCTCTGGCCAAGGCGCTGAGGGCCTCCGGATCTTGGACTGGTTGGGGTAACTGAGAGTTTGCAGAACAGGGGAGGATCCGGCTCTGGGCTCTCTTAAGTCCCTCTTGTCCCAACCCTTTTGCAGGTCTGATCAAGGGTGAGGGCCCTGCCACGACTGTGAGGCTGGGAGACTCCAGAGCTGGGGGAGGATCTAGGCATCTGACCCCCAGCTGTTTCTGTGGGCCTGGCCTGGCCCCAACACAGGAGCTTTGCTTAGAGTCAGGCTGGGGAGGCATGGGACATCACAAGAGAGTTAAATCAATATAATCCGCATGTGCTGCCACAGCAGGGAAGACAGCTGTGAGTGCAGCTCCTGGGGTTCTGGACTGAGGGAGCCATGTGAGCGGAGGCCCGGGGTGTGAGACTGGGCTAGAAACCAGCAACAGCCTGCATGGAGTGAAGCGTGGGGCTGGGTGGGTGGACCACGGTGTTTCTGGAAGTTGCAGAAAGATTTTAAGCAGGGACTGTCCTGCTGCGGCTGCAGATTCCAAACACTCACCCTGGAGGTGGCATTACGGGGCCCAGATGGAGTGAGCGGGTCAGCCGGAACCCCTCAGCTGTGTGCCAGGTGGCAGGCGATCTTGCCTTGGTCCAAGCACACAGCTTGGGGCCTGGGTGAGACAAGGTAGGTGTGCAGACTTCATGGTTTTAGGCCGGGCTGTGGAGATCCGGGGCCAGTGAGAGTTGCTTTCCTAGAGCACAGAGGCCCCCCAAAAGCCTCTAATCCCTCCTCCTCCTCCCAGAGAACAGGTGAGAGGGTCCTGCCTTCTGTGTTGTGTGCCCTTAGACTTGGCTTTTTTGACACCCCTCCCCAACTCCTCCAGCTAAAGCGCCTCCAGATAAGAGTCCCACCCCTGAGTTGGAGGCAACCTGAGCATAAAGCAGGGTGTTTCAGGTCCCTGATTGAGTCCTCCGAGCCCCAGGTGCTGTTCTGCCCTCTCCTTTCCTCTCTGGGACATTCATTTCTAGGGTTCTGGAGCATGAGGGGTCATGTCAGGGTGTCCTCCATGGACACACACACAACACGCATGCCTAGCATCTCCCAGGCCACACTAGGAAGCAGTAGGGGTGGAAGCATTCTGGGGGCTCTGTGTGACTTAAGGCAGCTACTTTGCTCAGGTGTGTCTCAGTTGGCAAGGCTGTACAATGGTTAGAGCTACTCAGCATCTGCTGAGTACTGGGGTAAGGAGCAATGAGGTGGAGGCTCTGAAACTGGACCCAGCTTCTCTACCTCCCTTCACCCCCATATGCATCTGCCCTGAGGCCTGGTCAAGCAGAAATGGCCCTGTTGGCCTGGGAGGGAGGAAGCTTACTGCCTGGAGGCCAGCCTGCAACCAGAAGGTGGGGGGCGGGGAGATCATCACGAGTCCACAGTGTCACCCGGGACAAAGGGCAAGGCCACCTGCATTGCAGTCACCACTCCCTGGGCAGCCCAGCCTCCCATCCCAGGGGAAGGGTCCTCAGGGACAGATCCTTCTGAGACCAGAGCTGCTTCCACACTTGTCCTCAGGCCACCTCCAGGGTCTGCAGTACACAAACCCTGCTTTTAGCCCTCCTGTTTCCAAATGACACATCATGTCTGACCTCCCTGATCTCTGCTGCTCAGCATGTGTCTGACACTGGCTGGGCTGTGTGGGGAGGTCAGGGGACAGGCTCACCTATTGAACCATCATCCTGGAGAAGGAGCTGAGAAGTTTGTGGTGCCATCCCTGATGAGCAGTGGGGATCAGAGGTTGAGAGAGCCTTGAAGGAACGTGTGTTTTCTAGAGTTGAGCTGAATTTGGATCTGAAGAGGGGAGGGGCTTGTCAGAGAGTTGTTGGCTTATTCTCTGTTCTGTACTCTTCCTGGGCAAAAGTACTCCCTCCTCAGTCCCCCAGCCTCTCGACCCCATTGTCAGCTGGTGCAGGTGAGGCCAGGGGCTGAGGGTGTCACCGGCTAAGATGCCGAGGCAGCTGTGGGATCCCCACCTCACAGACCTCTCTGGTTGGGGCACGGAGCTCTCCCAGGTCAGGTGTGAATCAGTCCACTCTGCCCCCAGGAGGAGGAGGCAGGGCCAGCCTTGCAGCCTGTTTAGCTTCTGAGGGCTCTGGAGGGCTCCTGCTTCTCCAGCAGCCTCCAATCCAGGCTGAAGGGCAGCAGCTGAGTACACAGCCCTGGCAGGCTGAGGAGAGGAAGTTAGGCAGCCATGTGCTCTGTTGACCCCCTACTCCGGTCCAGCCTCAGAACCTTTCACGCCACGCATTGGTGACTTGAGTGAGTGAAGCAGGCTGAGAACTGTGCCACGGGGGAGGCTTTCTGCAAAGACCCATAACTGTCGGCCTGTCCAGCAGGCTCCGTCTCTGACCATGGCCTGGTGCCAACAGTCAAGAGTGTCCAGCCTGTCACTGGGCACCAGGCCAGCTTGGGCTGGATCCATTGGGGATTCAGGGGAGGAGTTGAGACTGAGGCTGTGGGTAGCCAGGCTTTGCATCCAGTTCGAGCAGGCCCAGCTCTGTGCCTTGTGAGTTTCACTTTCTACTTGTCCAGGTTTCAGTTTCCTTGTCTGTGAAATGGGAATAAGAGTCTCGCTGACCTTGAATCATGGGACATTTGGCAGGGACAGGGCTTAGCACACCACCCTCCCTTGTCAATGGTGATTGGTGTTACTGTTCTGACCCTTAGCTGACGGGCTGCTCGGAGGGTGGGCTCCAGGGACTGAAAGGGCGGGCCCAGGGCTACGGCCCAGGAACCCTGGGTCCTCCTCGACTGATTTGCCTCCCAAGGCCAGGCGAGACTTTTGCTGAGAGAAGCAGGAGCTGGGGTCATGGTGCCACCAGCATGAAATCCCATTTTATGCTTAGCCTAGAAGATGTGCTTTCCTCAGATTTCAGCCTTTGGCCTCGGCCCTGGCAGGCAACACAGGAAGGCCTGGCTACCGCAGCCTCTCAGAGTTGTTCACAGCTGACAGAGCACTGATGAGCAGCGATCAACCTGACAAACACTGGCTGGTGTCCCCTAGCAACCGGGCTGGCAGTGTGGGCTACACAGGGCCTCACTTACTGCCTGTGGCTCCGGATCTGATTACCAAGAGTTCATTAAAGGTTTTACCTGGCCTGAGAAGAGTCGAGAGGGCAGGAGTGGCTCTCAGACACTGGCCCCAGAGGACAGACATGTAGGAGCTTCCCCCCAGCTTCTGCGTCCATAGCTCTCCCCAGGAGACTTGGTCCTGCCTCCCCCACACTCCGCCTGTTTCCTTGCCAGTTGTCACACCATTACTATCTTCAGTGCCTGGGTTGTGTCTCTTTGACTTCCTACTAAAGCTGAGTGGGCAGCTGTAGTCTCCAGCCTCTAGCTTCTCAACCCCATGGCTCCCAGCTCTGGGACCCTTCCACCCCATTACCCCCTCTACCCACTCAGGCCCTGTCAGCCACTCCCGCTGCTTCTGATCAGCAGCCCCGGGTCTCCAAGTCCCCTGTTCTCTCTGCTCAGCTTCTCCCTCACCGTCCCCTGCTTTCCTCACTCCTACCCTGTGGCGTTAGCTCACTGCCAGTCTCTTGTCCCTGTGCAAAGGCCACATGCCGGGCAGAGCGTTACCCAGTGGGAGCCACTCTGCCAACCAGCAGAGGTCTTAGAGCAGTGAGTGGGCGAGCACCCCAGGGTGCCTGCCAGCCGGCCTTGATGAAGGCATTAGCTCGCAGCATTCTGGGCTCTCCTCCACCACCCGTTCCCACCCGTGCCCCCACTCCCTCAGGACCCCCCCTTCTCTGAGCAGACCTCATCTTCTGTTCCTCAGACCGGAACCTTTGCCTGCCAGTGCCCTCTGGACCCGTTCTCTGCCCTTTCCTCTCATGTCCTCCCCTTCCTGCCCCGCGCCGGGATCTCTTTCCAGCCCACACCCACAGCACAGGAGTATCTGTTTTTTCTTCATCCCCTCTCTGTCTCCAGGATTGCACCATTGTTTGAATCCATTTTACCTTGTCCCATCTTCAAAAGCAAGTCCTCCCTCCCGCACATCCCTCAAGTCATCAGTTTCTCTACCCTCGTCTCTATCTTTCCTTTTCTGTCATCCCTCACAGTTCTTACTGCTTTGCTTATTACTCTTGGAGCTTCCTTGAAGCAATTTGCTTCCAATATATTGTATTTTTAATACCTCATTTATATCTACCATAGTGGCAGGCCAGACCCCTGCCACTACCAGATTCCAGAACCTTCCATCAGGGCCGCCAGCAGCCTCCAATCTCTCCCACTTCTCCATCCTTATCCTCCAGCCTTGTCAGCAGTGGTCGCCACAGTTAAACCTGCCCTTGGTCTTGAGATACTTTTGCTGTGGAAGCTCTGACCAGATTCCCCATCCCTGATAATCCAGTCCTGCTGCTCCCTCTCTGAGTGTTCCTTGGCCCCTGCGATCATTCACTGCACTAGGCTTTTCATCTCATTGTGCCTCTGCTCCACAGCTTTACTCCCCATCAGGAGGCTGACTCCATCCCACACCTGCCTCCCAAGCTCCAGCATCTTATGCCCATGCTCCTCCTGTAACCTCCCTGGGCTCCGTGACTGCCCCTACCCTGGTCCATTCTAGCTTAAGGTAGCTGGCTAAGAGTCCTCCCTGCCCCCTGCCCTCCTTAGCCCATGTCCAGTCTCTCTCTGCCAAACTTGCTATTGTCAAAACAACTTTATCAAGGGAATTCCCTGGTGGTCCAGCAGTTAGGATTCTGCACTTCCACTGCAGAGGGCACGGATTTGATCCCTGGTTGCGGAACTAAGATTACATGGCGTGGCCAAGAAAAAAAAACTTTATCAAAACATAAAACCTGCTTTTATTACTGATTCCTGCTCTAGTTTTGGAGGACTTTTCTACCTGATTGACTTTTATGCTCTTTGATGTTTGTTTTATCATTTTTAAAAATTGAGGTATAGTTGCTTTATCCTACTGTGTCAGTTTCTGCAGTACAGCAGAGTGAATCAGCCACGCATATACCTGTATCCCCTCTTTTTTGGATTTCCTTCCCATTTAGGTCATAACAGCGCAACAAGCAGAGTTCTCTGTGCTGTGCAGTGGCGTTTCACTGTCTTCTTCATGCATAGCGGTGTATATGTGTCAGTCCCAGGCTCCCAGTCCATTGCAGTCTCCCAGCTTTCCCCTTTGGTGTCCATACGTTTGCTCTCTACGTCTGTGTCTCTATTTCTGCTTTGCACATAAGACCATCTCTACCATTTTTCCAGATTGCACATATATGCTTTAATATACAATATTTGTTTTTCTAATTTACTGCCCTCTGTGTGACAGTCTCTCGGTCCATCCACGTCTTTGCAAATGACACAATTTTGTTCCTTTTTATGGTTGAGTATTATTCCATTGTGTATATGCACCACAGCTTCTTTAGCCATTCTTCTGTTGATGGACATTTAGGTTGTTTCCATGTCCTGGCTGCTGTGAATAGTGCTACAGTGAATATTGGGGTCCATGTATCTTCTGAATTATGGTTTTCTCTGGGTATGCCTGGGAGTGGGATTGCTGGATCATATGGTAGTTCCATTTTCAGTTTTCTAAGGAACCTCCATACTTTTCTCCGTAGTGGCTACACCAATTTACATTCCCACCAACAGTGTAAAAGGGTTCCCTTTTCTCCACACCCTCTCCAGCATTTATTGTTTGTAGATTTTTTGATGATGGCCATTCTGATTGGTGTGAAGTAATACCTCACTGTAGTTTTGATTTGTATTTCTCTAAAAATTAGTGATGATAAGTATCTTTTCACGTGTTTGTTGGCCATCTGTATGTCTTCTTTGGAGAAATGTCTGTTTAGTTCTTCTGCCCACTTTTTTATTGGATTGTTTGTTTTTGGTTTGTATTTATAATCAGAAAAAAACAATGTAAGGAGTCCAATAGCCTGGGTTGGCTTCTAGGATGGTTGCAATACTTTTCCCTAAAAGCCATCATGGAAAAGGAATTTTACAGCATTCAGTTACATGTAGCTGTATTACCAGACTCTTAGGAAAAATTAGAGGAGTTGATGATTCCATAGTGAACTGGGAGTAAGGTGTAACAATGTGTTTGGATTCTCACAGAATCTTCTATAGCAGAAATCTCCAGACATTACTGATTGGGTAGTGTATGTACCCTTATCATGAAAAAAAATTGAGCATTTACCTCCAATATATTGTATTTTTAATATCGCATTCATATCGACTGTGCTATTGTGTAAAGCATACATAATCAGAATTTCTAACAGGACCCAAAAAAAAACCCCACTGGAATATTATCTTCCTATATGTGCTGAGCTGTCAAACTCAGTAGCCCATGCAGCTCACTTTGGAGCTTGGCAATAGTTCTCAGGTTCTGTGGTGCTATGTAAAAAATACATTTGAGGGCCCCACCCCCAGAGAATTTGATACTCCCCCAAGCCTGGGAATCTGTGCTTTTAACCAGCCACCCCAGGGATTTGGGGGGTAATCTTGACCAGGAATTCATTTTGGTCTGCCTTGAGAAACCTTGTTCTCATGTTTCTAAAAGTCAAAAAAAGAAAGAAAACTGCATCTGTACTTAAATAGGAAGTAGACCTGATCTGTTTTTAGGCTAGATACATTGACTAGTTTGTTTTCAGGCCCCCAAAGTAGCCATGCGTCCACCCAGCTGTGCACCCAGCACGCTGTCCCTATGCGTGCTCAGCCACATGACTGCTGGGAAGGAAAGAGCCCAGGATATGAGGAGAATGAGATTGGGTTGCTTAGACATGATGGACAGCGAAGCCTCCTGGAGGTGACCCTGGAGCCAAGACCTGAAGGATGAGGTCCTGCCTGTCTTCCCCTTTCTCCAGGGAGCCTTTTCACCACCCCCAAGTCTGGATCAGGGTCGCCTGGTCCTGTCAGGACTTGTTCAGAGCGGTACTTCTCTGCCCTGCTGAGCAGCAAGCCTTAAGAAGGGGGCTCTGGTGGCACCTCTCGCAGCTGAGCCCAGGGACCAGCACAAGCCTGTGCCTAGGGATGTGTAGGAGGGGGTTAGCTGGAGGGAGGTCCTAGGGAATCCAGGATTTGTGAAGAAGTCAGATGGTGCCAGTGTGCTGGAGCAAGGGCTCACAGGCTGAGCCAGGTGGCTGCCCCGTGGGGAGGTGCTGACCACAGGGAAGCCTGGTATTCACAGTCTAGGCTGTGGTGCTGAGAACCCACCCAGAGCCTGTCCTGTGGAGGCCTGCTAGCCCGGCGCAGGTGTTCGGGGTCTCTTTCACAGCTAGGCTCAGGGAACAGAGGAGGCGGCCTATGCCAGCCGGGAGGTCTCATCATGGCTCCAGGGTGGGAGAAGTCATGGTCACGACAAGAGCCACGGGCCCTGGAACCCTCCGGTCGCGCCCAGGCAGCTTAGTGCTATGAAGACCAAACTCAGTCTTGCACATGGAACCCAGCAGGAGGTAGAACCTGGTGGGACCCAGGGTTCCAGTGGCCAGCTGTCCCTTTTGCCCGAGATTGTGACCTGATCTGAAGACAGTGTCAGAGCAAGGTGGTGTCCTGAAGGGGGGTGGAGGCCTGGACTTGGTCCCAGAGAGGTGATGTACACTGAGAACAGCCAGTGAGGGATGGCACACAGGGTCCAGGTGCCAGGTGGACAGGAAGCACCATTCTTCAGGTGCTTCCAAGCCAGCTGCAGGGTGGGCCCTGTCCCATGGGCTAAGCAAGATGGTGTCCCAGGCCCCAAGAGGCTCTTCCTAGCTGGCCTAAGGTAGTCCGAGAGGCCCTGCCCTTCCCCCAGAGAAGTCTGTCCCTGGCAGAGTGAACATGGCCGAGTGCACATGAGACCTTGAGCAGAGCAGCTGGGACCTGGCTCAGGGCCAGTGCAACGTGTGGACAAGGGTCAGCTGCAGATTGGACGCCAGTGCATCAGGGACCGCCTCTCTACTCAGAGCTCTTCTGCTAGAGCTCTCTCATGTGCCGGTCATTTGTGTCTCAGGATAGGAGGTGGTTTTTGCCCAGGTGCTGGTGGCTGAAGAGTTTTGTTGATGTGTAAGAAGCCTTGGACAGGAGGCTGAAGGATGGACTTGGTGACCTTGTCAGGCCATGACAGGCCTTGGGGGATTTACATACAGGGGAGAGCAGTCATGTTGGAAGGGTCTTGAGTGATGGCATGACTCAGCCGGGAAGTACAGGCCCAGGGAAGGAAGGCAGAGCTGCCAGCCTGACCATTGCAGACATACTCCCTGCCCACACTGGCTCCACTGTGGGTCCGGGGGCCAAGCCTGTGCCCGGCCCTGTGTTTGAGATCAGAGCTTTGCAGCTCAGGACTGAGAATGCATTCGGGGCCTGGGTATTGATTCCCAGATGTCCTGGGCAGGTTAGGCAGAGTGGCCCCCCAGAGTTGGGAGGTTGAGGTGGTTGTCCATGAGTAAGGTGGAAAATCTCTCTTGTGTCTCCTCAGGTTAGAAATCTGTGCTACATGGTGACAAGGCGCGAGAGAACGAAACATGCCATCTGCAAGCTCCAGGAGCAGATATTCCACCTGCAGATGAAACTTATCGAACAGGATCTGTGTCGAGGTAGGCGCTTCCCCTGCCTGCCGCTGGCCACCTCTCGTGAGCACACCCTCGAGGGGGCTAGGTTCCAGGGAGCTGTGTGTCTTCAGAGCCTGGTGGGGTATGTGTACGGGATCAGTGGCCACTGACCCTACCCCTACCCTCTGTACCCAGTTAGTGGGCCAAGGCAGGGGCCTCCCAGGGTCCTGGGTGTGTGTTGGCAGGCAAGGAGCAAAGATGTGATGTGGGCATCAGGCCTGCCCTCAGGGAGCTTTCTGGTTCACGGGACTCTGAGGCAGCACGGGGCCCACTGTGGTTCAGGAGGGAGCTGCACATGTCCGGGTGCAATCCAGAAGTCTCAGCGGCTCTGTGCTGGTTCCGGGCAGGAAGGGAACAAGCTGGCAAGCTTCCCTGAGCCCCTGTGTGCCTGTGTGTTGATTGTGAAGAAGGCAACTGCCCCGGGGGTGGAAGAGGACCTGTGTGTTCCCTTTCTCTGACCCCATCTGACAGGATTGAGGCCCTGTGCCAGTAGGTTTTTTTTTCCTCTTTCTTAGGCTTTTACCATCACCTGCCTTTAACAGATCTGGAAATCAAAGGTTAAAGAAGCTCTGAGAGTGGTCTGTCTTGTTAGGTGTGGATGTTGCCAGACAACAGGGCCCTTTGTGGAGTGTTAACATGTTAAAGAGGGCAGTGCTTAGTGCAGAAGATGGTGCTCTGATGTTGAATTCCATGCAGTAAAAATAGGTGGATGGAGAGATTTTTAAGGAAGAAGCTGCCACTGCAGGTAGAGCCTGAGTTGGGCTAGGCTTGGAGCAGAGAGAGGAGAGTGGCTGGGCTACCACCAGAGTCAACAACTGAGGACCTTCTATTGCCCTATCCCTGCCCCGGAAACCAGCATTGCCTGATACAGATGGTGCATCACGGCCATTTAGAGGTCAGGGCTCACTCTGCACCCCCAGGACTAGGGCAGCTTAGACAGGAGGCCCCCAGGCCTTCCCAGGCTCCCTCTTGTTTGTCGGTTCCTTCAGCAAGCACTGACTGAGGTCGACAGAATACTGGGCTCTGTGGGTATCGGGATGGCTTCCTGGTGGTGGTGACGCTGGAACATCTCAGGCTTCCTGGGACTCACACAGGCCATACATCCCACTGCAGGAAGGCAGTGGAGGGTGGCGAGGCATGCAGTGCCCTTAGGCACAGGATTCCAGAAACATAGTCAGGAGCTCAGAGGGTCCGCATTCTCTCATTGAGTCTGGAGACATTTGCAGCTCCTAGACTTGAGCAGCAGCAACAGGCCACCTTTTGGTCAGGGCAAGGCATTTGGAGAGAAAACTGGTTTGCCTCTGCCCGAAGCCAGTGCCCTCAGTGTTATGACGCTCCACCCATAGGGTGGGACATGGGCCGCAAGTATATTCTTGAGGTCTGTCTGGCCAGGAGCCTAGAGAAGGCTTCCCAGTGGCGTTGATACTTAGGCTGTGAACAGAACCAGGGGAGGGACAAAGAAACCATATATTTGGGGACCTGGAGGTGAGCTTGTCTTGTTAGAGAAACTGGAAGGACCCTGGCATAGCTGCAGCCAGGGCAGAAAGAAAATGTCTGAAGTGATGCTAAGGGCTTGCCAGGGTCAGCTGTGTAAGGTCTGTGCCCTTGGGAGGAGCTCAGGCCACAGCGAGTGCAGTGGGGGACTTGGGAAGCCTCCCTCCAAGTATCTAGGCACTGTCCCGTGTGATAGGTGAGAAGACTGAGGCCTGGCCCGAGATTACACCTGGAATGAACAGCAGAGCTAGGCAGAGTCCTGGAGTTGGGCCCACACTCAGCCTTCTCTTAAACGCTTACTCGGGAAGCCCTCCAGCCTCTGGCTGAGAAGCTAGGAGAAGAGTCTGGGCAGCTCCCCACCACAGCATGTCCCTTCCCTGCTCTGTTTTGTTCTGTGACTCCGCAGACCCATGTGGTCCTGGACTAGAAGGGTATGAGGGCCAGGGGTGTACCCCGAGTCTCCCATCAATTGTCTAACCTCCAGAGCAGACCACGAGAGCAAGGCAGGGGACCGACCCTGTGTCAGGAGGGGAAGCCGAGGCTGCTGATCCCGCAGTGACCTATCCACCTTTACCTCCATGGCCTTGGCCCGTGAGGCCCTGTCCTGTCCACTCACCTCCAGCCAGCCTTCCTGCCCACCAGGACTTTCCTGGGATTTGTAGTCCCTAGAGATCAAACTGCAGCTCAGGTCCTGTAGAGTGGTCTTCCCCCTCCTCGTGTCGCTGAGCCCCTCACCAAGGCCCTCAGGGACTCTTACCCGCTTTTCCCACATCAGCTGTTCCCTGACTCGCTGGAGCCACAGTTACCCCAGGTCCCACATGGCTCTGGACGGGGGCCGCAGAGGTGCAGGGGAGGTGATCTAGAAGGCGAGACACTAAGTGATGGGGCCCTCCTGGGATTCCACGCAGGGGTCTTGGTTCTGTCTGGCCTGCTTGGGGTAACCATCTCCCTCTTGCTCTCTCTTTCCCTGATGCAGAGCGGTCTGGGAGGAAAACAAAGGGCAAGAAGAGCGACTCAAAAAGAAAAGGCCACGAGGGCCCCAAGGGCAGCCCTGAGAAGAAAGAGAAAGTGAAGGCAGGGTCTGACTCAGTCTTGGGGCAGCTTGGTGAGTGGCCTGGTGCACATGGCCAGGCTTATACCATCACTGCACTTGCAGCTCCCCACATGTCCAGGCACTCCCACCTTCCAGGTATAGAGGAGACTGGGGGTGTTGGAGCCCTATCTGGCCTCCCAAGGGTTCCTCTCATAGACTAGAGGCTGGGCCCAGGAACTCAGGAGCCTCTAGACATCCTGGCCCTTCAAGGAACCCTGTGTCATGTTGTGGGGTGAGGGCCTGCCATAATTCTCTGTCCCTGTTCCCCTCTGCCAGAATGTCCTCAAGTAGGCCCTCCCTTCATCCCCTGCAAACTACCTGGGAGCCCCAGAGACCCCCGCAGCAGTGCTCTTTGCCCAGTGCATCTCACTGTCACAGCTGTCTGTCACAGATCTCTTTACTGCTGCCCCGTTAAGCATGGTATTCCTAGAGGGGCTCTTGGCCTTGGGCTTTGTCTCCCAGGATGTCACATGCTTCCTCTAGAGCACTTCTCAGGGAAGGGGCGTGCTCTAGAGGAACACCTCACCAGTAGCAAGGAAGCCTCACTTCATCTCTAGCAAGGAAGCCCCAGGTCCTCTCTAGCAAGGAAGCCCCCACCTCACCTCTAGCACGGAAGCCCCAGGTCATCTGTTATTTTCCTCAGTCTCAGGAAGGAGACAGCTTGGTATCTAATGGGAACATCAGCGGCCGCCTCCCAAGACCTCAGTAAAGGAAGGAGGGCCCGTAACTGGAGCTGGCCCTGACAGACACCCTTATCCAAGCCCTTGCTTTGGAAGCTCTGGAAACCGACACTCATGAAAACCCAGCGCCCCCTGGTGACCAGAGGGCTCCTTCCTCCATCCCCCCATCCCTTGTGGTCCCAGGGTGATGCCATGTGGGGTGGTGAGCAGGGCTGGGTGTGCTCCTGTGCAGTCAGCAAGGGCCCTCGCCTGGGTTAATGCGCTACTGTAGCCACTTTGAAATTCTTAATAATTTTTGAATAAGGAGTCCACATTTTCACTTTGTACTCTGCTCCTCAAACTATGAAGACTATGAAGACTATGAAGTCCCCAGGAGCAGGACATCATCTATCTGGGGAGAAGGGTGTTCAGGGGTTGCAGGCGGGATGGACAGAACAGGTTAACTCAGGCGGGTCTAGCACAGAGGGAAAGAGGGAGGAAGGTTCGTGATGGCGTGCAGGGTAGCGGGGGAGAGGGCTTCCTGAAGGAGGGTGGGACACATGCCCGCTGGCATCTCACCTGCCTCTTTCCTCCCCTTGGCCAGGCCTGTCTACCTCGTTCCCCATCGACGGCACCTTCTTCAACAGTTGGCTGGCACAGTCAGTGCAGATCACCGCAGAGAACATGGCCATGAGTGAGTGGTCGCTCAACAACGGGCACCGCGAAGACCCCGCCCCGGGGTTGCTGTCCGAGGAGCTGCTGCAGGACGAGGAGACACTGCTGAGCTTCATGCGGGACCCCTCGCTGCGACCTGGCGACCCTGCCAGGAAGGCCCGCGGCCGCACCCGCCTGCCTGCTAAGAAGAAACCACCACAGGATGGGCCCGGTTCACGGACGACCCCAGACAAAACCCCCAAGAAGCCCTGGGGCCAGGATACTGGCAGCAGCAAAGGGGGTCAGGGACCACCTGCCAGGAAGCCACCACGGCGAACACCTTCTCACCTGCCGTCCAGCCCTACAGCTGGGGACTGTCCCATCCCAGCAGCTCCCGAGAGCCCCCCACCACTGGCCCCCGAGACCCCGGAGGAGGCAGCCCCGATGGCTGCCGACTCTAATGTCCAAGTGCCTGGCCCTACAGCGAGTCCCAAGCCCTCAGGCCGGCTCCGGCTGCCCCGTGAGAGCAAGGGAAACCGGAGATCGCCAGGTGCCAGGCCTGATGCGGGGACAGGACCGCCTTCTGCTGTGGCCGAGAGGCCAAAGGTCAGCCTACACTTTGACACTGAGACTGATGGCTACTTCTCTGATGGGGAGATGAGCGACTCAGATGTGGAGGCTGAGGACAGCGGGGTGCAGCGAGGTCCCCGGGAAGCAGGGGCTGAGGAGGTGGTCCGCATGGGGGTACTGGCCTCCTAAGTCACCCCTTCGCCTGTCCTGGTCCCCCCGTGAGGCCTCAGCCCAGTGACAACTGCCATTTCCAATCTCCGCTGAGTGTCTCAGACCCTTGAGGCTGCCACTCTGATGTGGTTTTATTTTTAATATAAAGAGAGTTTCGAATTCCACACTATTGTCTTTCCTCTATGCTGGCCTAGGATGTTAGGATTCCTTCCACGGCTCTGGCCACAAGGACCAGCCCTGGTCCTGTGCACCATCATGGCCGTGGCAGCGTCCCTGCCTGGGCCACGCAGTACTGCTGGGCTCCTGGCTACATGTAGGCAAGGTGATGAAGAGCTCAGGACTCCTGCCCGCTGCCACTGGGTGACACAGACTGTCGTTTGGGCATTATATGGCAGATGGGCCTGGCCCTGCCTTGCTCCCAAATCCCACTGGGGTCCATCTGGGGGGGTCCTGCTGCACTTCACTGATCCCCAAGGAAGTATGATAAGTGATACCCAGCCAGAGTCTACTCACTGTCACAAGCACAATGAGCTTATACAAGAAAGCACTGAGGGGGCGAAGAGGGCCTGCTGGTTCCGAGGGAACCACAGCTGTTCCTGGTCAACCCACATCATTGGAGGCCTGCCCGCCCACCCTGCGATCCTCCACTCCCCTGCTGCTCTGCCCCTGCCAGTGCCCAGCCCGGCGGCTCTGGGGAGGGCTTCCCAGAGTCCTTCCTGAGCTGTGCCATTTTCTCAGGGGACTCCCAGCCAGCCAACCGCCAGTGCCGGTGGGGGGCTGCGAGGGAGGGCCAGTGCCCGGTCAGGGGCGTGGGGCTCAGACTCGCCCACTACAGAGAATCGCTCTGGGACTCCAACTTCCTTCCTTCCTTCCTTCGGGGCCAGTCTCGGCCAGGGTCTGATCACTCCCAGACAGCTGACCAGACCAGACCATTTGCCTTTTCAAGTTTCCTGCTAAGTGATGAGCTTCTTCCTCGGTTTCCTTTTGGAAACTCCTCCTTCCAACAAGCAGTGGGATCCCGGGGCCCGGGACGGGTTAGTGATGGCCTGCCGGGGCTGTTTGAAGTCTTGCTGGATCTTCCTGGTTCCTCTTCCCCTCTGAGCCTTAACCCCCTTTCCCAGCTGTGCCCTTCTAGCCCTTCCCTCCCCACCGTCACCGTCCTGCCTTCTCCGCTTCACCCTCTAAGTCCCAGGTAGTAGCTCTGAAGAGTTTCAGTGGAGTGGCCCCAGGGTGATAGCTCAGGGAACAAATGAAAAACAAAAAGGAATTCAGTGAAAACATGTTTTTTTTTCTTTTATGACTTACTCCTGGGTCACTTCTGCCACTGGTAAAGCCAGAACTTCTCCAACAAGAACCTTGCAAAAGTCCAGTGAATCAGTCGAATCATTCTGTGGATGCCAAAGAATATTTTGACCATAATACAGCACAGCCAGGACCTGACAACTTGTCACTTGGACTTTTTTTAAAAATGGAGTTCTTTAGCAACCAAGTATAGAAACATGTTTGTTGCACACACCCAAGGAGGTGAGCTCTCGGACAAGGATGCTGTGCTGCTGCTGCTGCTGCTGGTGGATTTTGGATCTTGGGCCCACTGTGAGCTCTCCTGAACCCTAAAACTCCACAGGAGGAGACTGACGGTGAAACCAGCGTGGCAAAAGTCTCACCATGGGGATCCCCCTCACATAACAAAGCGCAAATCAGCGGGATGGGGAGCAGGCTGAGCACCCATCCCCGACTCCAGACTTTTCAAGGTACGACAGTGGCATGGTCATGGACACTCAGTTTCATGTGAATTTTATCAAAACAGGAAACAAAGATAATGACTAAGTTTAAAGGGCTGGACAGATGTGTCCAGTCAGAGCAGACTCAGAGTGGGCTTCAAGGACTCTGGGTGTTGGGATGGCATGAGCTACTGTGTAGAGTTTAGTCTGCCTGGCGCCTTGGTGGTAGTGGCCAGCGCAGTGTCAGCAGCAGCGTCCTAACCCCATTCTCTGTTTACTGCCTTTGAACAGATCTTCTTCCTTCCCCGTGCTTCGGGTCATCTCGGGTCACAACCTTGTCTGTGCTGGATTGCCTGGTCTGACCTCACAGGAAGCAAAGGGACCAGCTTTAAAGAACAACCAAACTCTGCCAGGAGGTGGGGTGCTCAGGTCCAGTAGACTCGGTTCTAGCCTGCTTACCCTTCATCCATCCTGAGGCAGGGTCTGGGAGCTCTGGGGGCGAGGTAGGGCAGCGAACCAGGGCAGGAAGGTGGTAGGTCTGGTCAGGGCCTGGACTGGGTGGGCCAGGTCAGGAGACCAGCACTCCTCCAGAGGGCCTGTACTCAAGTTGCCCTGTAGATTTCAACCCACTTCTCAGTTGGCTTCTGCTTTGAGCTGAATTATCCCTGGGGCCCCGTGTCCTGCACGGAGTCCTGGTGCCTCTAAGGCTGGCTGCCCAGGGTCTGCCAGGCCAGACCCAAGAGCTTTGCCAGGCAGCCGTCCACTACTAGGATGTCCGGCAGGCTACAAAGAAGACAAAGATACTGGTTCTCACTGCTGGCCTTTCTGCCAGCAGCCACAGCCCCTTCACTTTTTCCAGCTTCCCATCCACAGTGCAGACAGCTTTGCTGCCTTTGAGGTCAAGATGGGAAGCTGAGGAGAAGGCAGGAGGCCTTTTCCAGATTAGAGGCTGAGGTATGTCTTTCATGTGACCATATCTGCCCACATTCAGTGGCCCTCCTCAGGGAGGGACAAGCTGCTCTGGAAGTTATCCTGGCGGTCTTTGCCACTCTCCTGGTCTCTGCTGCCCACCTCCTTCCCCCTTCTCACAGTGAGAAAGGATAATGTGCAAGGAAAGTATTTTTATGGATCATAAATGTATTTTAGAACAAATACGGAGAAGAAAGGTTAGAAGGGTTTATTTTATTAAATGAGCTCTGACTTGGTGACAGTGTGTGGACATTTGCAGTGTGAAGGTCTCAGGTTCCTTGGAGAAGACACCCAGGTTTCCAAACATGGGTGTTGAGCTGTGGATGTGTGAGTGTGTGCCAGGGCACGTCTTGTGTGTCCATGTGCGTGTGTGTCTGTGTGTCATGTATGGGCACACAGTGGGACTTGCCAGGGCAGTTTCTAGAGAATCACATGCCCAGTTCTGACAGACATTGGCAGCAGCTGGACTTGGCATTCCTTGCTTACTGCCAGATGTGGCCAACCTCTGCCCATACCCCAAGCTTTGCAGAATGGTCTGGATGCCTGTGACAAGGCCCTTGGGGAGGCCACTTCCCATGGCCCTGGCCCAGCTGGCCACATTGGCCAAAGAGCCAGGGCTGGAGTCCAGGACCTTTGGTTGTTCTTTAAGGCACTTCCTGCCACCTTGTCCCTCAGACGCACAACACTCTGCGCTCCACATCGGCTCGGGGTGGGGGGATGATATGAATGTCACAGGAGGAGACACCTTCTGTCTTTGTTTCAAAGAAAGTTGATGTGCCATTTGTTAATATACAAGAGAAATATTGAAAATATATTGAAAAGAGCAATTTTAAATTATTTTTGGCTTATGTTGCAATATTTATTTTCTTGTATTAGGAAAGATTCCTTTGTAGAAAAAAAAAATGTATTTTTCATTAACGCAAAAACCTATTTCTCCTTTTTGTACATTGTCCATGTTCGCTACCCTTAACGAGCAATAGAAGGTATGGCCGCCTCGGGGTGGCCAGTGCCCGCGTCCCCTGCATGCTCCTGTGATCCCGCTACCACGTAGCTCCCAGTCCCATCCTGTCCTGCTCACTCATGGGGGTTTCCAGAGCCTAGGCTCACTGGAGCCTGTGGCTTCAGGACCCCCTCTGCAATCCTCGTGTGTTGGCAAACGCAGTTAATAAAGCAATGTTTTCTGTGCTGGCTGGTCTGAGGCTCTGTTGCGCTGGGGAGTGGGAGAGGGTGGGCTCAGTGAAATAGTGAGTGGTCCCTGAGTGTCCCAAGGAATATAGTGAGTGCTCAGTATGCACTGGGGCTGGGCTTAGTTCATTTGCTTCTCACAGCTGTCATCCCCTGGGGTTCAGAGTGGATGATGGAGTTTCCCAAAACTACACCTCTGGTAAGAGGTGAAGTTCGGCATCAAAGTCAGGACCGCTCGAGCCACCTCCAGTGGGAAGGTTTGGGAGGAAACTCTGGTGGTGGTGGTTCAGTTCCTAAGTCGTGTTCGACTCTTTGCGACCCCATGGGATAGATTTGCATGCCATGCTCCTCTGTCCTTCCCTATCTCCTGGAGTTTGCTCAAACTCATGTCCATTGAGTTGGTGATGCTATCTAACCATTTCATCCTCCGCTGCACCCTTCTTTTGCCTTCGGTCTTTCCCAGCATCAGGGTCTTTTCTAATGAATCGGCTCTTCACATCAGGTGGCCAAAGTATTGAAGCTTCAGCTTTAGCATCTGTCCTTCCAATGAATATTCAGGGTTGATTTCATTTAGGATTGACTGGTTTGATCTTCCATGCAGTCCAGGGGACTTCCAAGCGTCTTTTCAAGCACCACAATTCTAAAGCATCAATTCTTCAATGTTCAGCTGCCTTTATAGTCCGACTCTCACATCCCTACATGACTACTGAAGAAAACATAGCTTTGGCAATATGGACCTTTGTCACAAAATGATATCTTTGCTTTTTAATATACTCTCTAGGTTTATCATAGCTTTTCTTACAAGGATCAAGCATCTTTTAATTTCATGGCTGCAATCATCATCCGCAGTGATTTTGGAGCCCAAGAAATAGAATCTCACTGCTTCCATTCTGATATCTGTCCCTAGATCAGGAAAGGTTTTAATCCAGGCTTGTTTTTCACTCGTTATTTCCTTAGTACTTACTTTGGACCAGACTCTTAAAGTATGCAGAATGAAGCCAATGTCTCTGCCCTGGGGGAGCTCACAGTCCAGCAGAGAGGCAATGAGGGAATTGGGAGGTACTGTGGAGGCCTTTATGGATGAGGTGGGGGGACACAGGAGGCAACACCATTCATGCATTCATTCATAGACAATTGTCTACTGAGCATGCATCTCATTCTGCCAGTGTGCTGGGTTGTGTGCTGTGAGTGGCACCAGGACCCTGCCTTCCCAGAGCTTCCAGGTAACATAGGCTCGAAGGATAACTTGTTGCTTGCCCAAGGGGAGCTGGCTGTGAGGAAGGGACAACAAGCATTCTGGACAGAGAGGTCCACAAGAACAAAGCTGGATTCAGCTATGTGTGGAAGGGTCTTGAACCTGCTCTGACAGTCCAAGAGGAGGAGCATGGAAAGGAGTTTGAACTGACTCAAGGAAAATAGCTTCTGGGGCTGCTGACTTGGTTGTGAAGCACAGAGAAGTGCCCCATTTCCTCACTGGTGCAGTAGACAGTGAGTCCCCAAGGGCACCTCCAGATCCAAAGTTCTGTGACTCCACAATGCAGAAGGCGGTGGAAATGAACCTGGTGTGCTTTGAACGACTGTGGAGGAAGGTGTCCCTCACTGAGGGACCCCATGCCTGCCACATCCCTGGGGATCAGGGAACCTTGTCTGACTGAGACGTGTGTGTTCTCTCAAGGGGCTCAGCCGAGAGTGAAGGGCTCAATTAGCACCAGCCTCAGTCAGCATGAGGTACTGGCAGATCAGTCCCCAGGCTGACAGAGCACCTGCGTGGCCAGCTCCCCTACCTGTGATCTGGGGCTGCCGACACCCCAGATTCTCCCTCCTCCCAGAGCCAGGCCCACTTGGCCACAGTGCTCCAGCAGAGTGATGGAGGGGCCCCGCTGCCAGGCCTGCAGCTGCAAAGCTGACCCAGCTGATGACCGTGGGGCAGGAGAGGCCGAAACACCGGTGGGCCCGAAGGCAGCAATGTGCAATAGAAATGAAGTGTGAGGCACAGAGGTAATTCTAGTAGCCACATTTTTAACAAGCACAAAGGAGCAGGTACAGTGAATTTTAATAATATATTTTAGTTAATCCATTATATCCAAAATTTGATCACTTGAACCTGTAATCAATATAAAATAATCACTAATGAGCCAATGTACAGGAATCCAAGGGGAGGCCAGGAGTGTCCACTCCCCCCCACTTTGTTCCTGCACGCGTTGATTCAGCATTCATGGGGCACCAGTTGCTGGGCCCTGAGGACATTGGGATGACCAAATGTCCTATGCAGAGACCAGGCCAGTGGGGGAGACAGACTTTAATCCCATAGTCCCAAAGCCAGGTGCAGTTACACACAGACAGTGTGGCAGAGGGGAGGGACTCTTCCTCTGCCTGCCCTTAACTTCCCTTGTTCTGATGAAACTCCTGCAAGGTAGGTAGGATCTGGGGCGCCATCTGCTGCCCAGCCTTGATGCCTGACAATGTGTGTTTTTGTTTTGTCTTTTTCCCAATTCTTTGAAAAAAGAATCCTATATAGGGGTAAAAAAAAAAAACCTACTACATTTAATAATGTGCAACTGCTTTGTTGTAACAACAAACACAATGTTAAGGAAAAAGAAACCATTCTAAAACATTAAAAAGCAAAAAAGTGGGTTCCCTGGTGGTCTAGTGATTAGGACTTGGCATTCTTGCTGCTGGGGTTGCATTCCCTGGTTGCAGAACTAAGATCTCACAAGCCAAACAGCATGGCAAAAATTCCTTTCCTAGAGTATCCATGACTCCCCTGGGTCCCCCAATGCAAACTCAAGGAGGTTTCTTTTCATTATTGTTAACCCCATCCCCATAGTGATTTTTGTACAGCGCAGTAGGAAAGTATGTCTAACCCAGGATCAGGAAACCGAGGTTCTAGTCTTCTGCCGTTGACTTGATGTACCTCAGTTTTTCCATCTGTCAAATAGAAGATGTTGGGGATACCGATTTCTTTAGGTCCTGTTGGGAAAGCCCATGGTCAGAGGATGTGGTCAGTGAGGGTCAGGTGAGAGCCTGCCAGGGCCCTTCCTTTTACCTTAAGGCCAACTGGGTAGGCGGGACTGACTGGGGCTACAGTGAGCCTCCAGACTGGACTTGGGCAGAGCCAGAGCAGGAAGAAGTTCAGGGTCATCACATTGTCAGAATGCCACGGTGGCGACAGATTCATGTCACCAGGAGAGGGGTCATTAGAAGCACAGCATTAACCATGGGTGTGAACATGAAGTGAGGCACCAGATCCAGCCCCGGTGGTGACAGGGCAAAGTGCTGAGCAGGACCTGTGGGCAACGGAAGGAAGGTAAGTTATCTGTCCTGCAGGCTTGGAAGTGGGACCCACGCCTCTCTGGAAAGGCTGGGGGTGTGGGGCGGGCTCTGTGATTCGGTGACAGCAATTGTAGGGTGGCTTGCCTAGGTGTAGGGGTTTGTGTTCAGTGGGCAATCCGCCTTATTCTACCCCCATCTTTGGTTATCGTTAGCCATTTGTGGCCATTCAAGTCCAGAAAATTCATCCAGGAATGCACCGCACATGAGGAAGTGACTAGAAATGGAGTCGTGTGGGCTTTGGGGTAAAGGAGAATTAGGGTTAGGGTTTTGGCCCTTTCTGGGCCTCAGTTTCCTTATCTGTGAAGTGAAGATGAGCGTTCTTGCTGGGCCCCACCCCATGCATGATGGCTGAGAGTGGATCAAAGTGGGCCTGGATGTGCGGTGATTAGAATGAGGAATCACTGTGAGAGGAGGGGGACGGAGGTTAAGGCAGAGGGCGCCCTGACACCGGCAGGCTGACTAGAGAGGCCAGGAAACCAGAGGGATTTGTTCACTGAAGCTCCGTTGTTCTCATGGGCCGCCCCAAACCCAGCCAAGGCACCTGTAGTCTGGGGGGGCAGGGCAGGGGAAGGTCACGTGCTGCCGGCCGAGGGCGGGTTGGAAGCACCTGGCGGTCATCCGGGACACCGCTCACGTGACACCTGAGCCAATCAGCTGCCTGCGCCTGAAATACACCCACCTTCCCAGCATTCTGGGGTTCCTCCGCGGCCATTCTGAATCGGTTTAACCTAGGAGGCGGCGGGTGGCTGAATTCTCCTGCTCCACACCCCCTCACCCCACCCCTGTTGCAGAGAAGGAACGTTGCATTGCTAGGGACTGGATGTTGGGATCAACCTGAAACTCAGAAGAGCAGCAGGGTTTGTAGGAGAAGCCAAAAAGGAGTGACTCAGCAAAATAAACCGTCACCTGTGGATATTGTGAACTGCTATTTTGGGACCCTGGGTGACTGACTGCCCGGCTCTGGTGACAGGTGCTTGGTATACAAAACCTTGTTTCCCACATGCCCGCCGTAATTATTTATGCTCTTCAGCTTACGGAAGGAGCTGCCGTGGGCGGTCCCCGATAGCTGCGTTGTCCACTGTTAGACTCCTAATGTGCCCTGAAGGGCCATCAGGAACCAGAGGGGATGCTCAAGTCTTAGGGACCCCTCTGCCCTCCAGGAGCACTTCCCTTCTGGTCAAGAAAGGGTACGGGACCAGTACAGACCCGCATTATCAGTCCTGGTTCCTGCTCAAGCCTCAGCCAAGGAGCCTCATCTGGGTGACCTCAGGGGTTAGGTGGTTGGGGGGGCATGAAAGCTCGTTTTGCCCACCACCTTCTCTAGGACAGCCTCTGAATTCTAGTGACAGAGAGCGTGTCATTTTGTAAGCAACCCATTGCTAAGCCATCCATATTAAGTTTAAAACGTCTTCCTTAAATTCAACTGTAATTCTTGCCTTGAAACATGATGTTTCTGTTCACACGCTGTTCTGAGCCCTGTAGCCACAGAGATCAAGTCCGGTCCAGTGTTCACTGGGCAGTCCTTGGGCTGTGTGAGGAGTTAGGATACCTTGCCCACTTGACTTTTCAAGTTCAGGAGTTTACTAAGGGATTAGAAAGCAGGGTATTCTTCTCAGCTATTTCTGTTATGCCTCTCCTGCTTGGTGGATGGAACCATCAGATCCCCACAGTGTGCTGGCAAAGCCAGTCCCCAGGTAAGAGGTTTGTGGAGAAGGGGGATCAGAGAGGGACAGCTGGGGCCTCAGCTCCTGGCTCCCAGCAGTATCCTCAGGGAGCCCCAACCCTCCACCCCTTTAGCCTGATGTCTTTTATTGAACAGGTTGGCAGTACTGGCTCTGTCAACAGTTCCAGTTTGTGTGTTTTTAAAAAACTTTTATTATATTGGATTATAGCCAGTTAACAGTGTTGTGGTAGTTTCAGGTGGACAGCAAAGGGACTCAGCCATAGGTATGCATGTATCCATTCTCCCCCAGACTCCCCTCACATCCAGGCTGCCATGTAACATTGAGCAGAGTTCCCTGTGCAATATCCACGCTGTGTTATTTTTAATTTGACCTCAAACTTGTGTCTTCCTTGTCACTAGCACACATTCTGGTGTGCATGCTCCATGTGGCATTTTGGGGACACATGTCTGTACAGATGTTCCCAACTTCAAATAGCCTATTTCTGATCTCATGGCTCCATGAGCAGGCCTTCCTGGTGGATCACTGGCTCCTGCCTTGGGTTGGAAAACGTGGTCATACATCATAAACTGTTGGTTTTGGAATCAGTGTTAGAAGTAGCCTACTTTGGCAGGTGAAAAATGGGCTGAAAGATGGGAAAGAGCAGCCCTGCTCTCCTGCCTTCTTAGTTTAGGCCTCATGTTCTTGTCTTTTCCTCCACTGACATCTGTCTGATAGGCTGTCCACATAGCACCTCTTCAGGCTCTGGGCTCTACCAGCCCCAATTCACAGCGTGACGTTTTCTGCTGTGCCTTTGTTTTTGCTGTTCTGTCTGCTTACACTCGCCTTGTTCACCCCCTCTTTACTAAACAGTTTATATGCCTTCAAGATTCAGCTCTGGTGCCCCCGTTTTAGAAACCTCGATGGTGTTTGAGGGCCTTCCCCTTTTGCCTTCCATGGTGCCTCGGGCAGATGGCTGCCCATTTTTCATCATTCCATGTAAGTCTCCAGCAAGGAGGTGTTGAGGAAATGCCAGCTGACTGACTGGCTTGCAGAAGGGCAGACAGAAAGTGTGGCCACCTGTCCCAACCTGAACCCAGCACCTGCATGGTACTTGCAAAAGACCTGGTGATTTAAAAAAAAAAAAAAAAAAGACCTGGTGATAACTAATAGTTTTCCACACATAAGGCTTTATGTGTAAAAGAGAGAAAACGAACCCAGTGAGCAGGGACCCTCCCTCATATTTTACCCAGCCCAGCCCTGCACATGGAGCAGTGAGCAAGGCCGCCAACATGTCAAGTAATCAGAGACTGCTTCTCCAAAGAGGAAGGCAGAGTGAGGCTTCAGAATCCAAGAGGGGTCCCCCTGCCATCAGACTGCCAGAGGATTGTGGGTTCTGAACCTGGCCCCAAAATAGAAGCTGAGGTGGAGAAAATTTCAGACTGGTCTCAAAATAGCTTTTTGCCCCTGTGTTTACTACCCTGAAGTCAGAAAAGAAAGTAGTGTTGCATGGTTTCCTTCAGGAACTGTCAGAGTTGTTTCCCCTTGCAGTGGAGCCCCTAGTTGCAAATACGCTCTGGGGCCCAGAACAGGGCTGGAACTCACCTATTCTGTGTTTTACTCAAAGAAAGGCCATTTGGGTCTCGAAAGAGAAGTCTGTAGAATGGAGGGAAGTCAATGTGCTTTTCTCTAGACTGCAGTCAATCTGGTATGGCTTCCTAGTCACGAGGTGGGTCTAGAGACCTCAACCCAAACCCAAGGACTAGGAGAGAACCCTAAAAATGGTGCTGTAATGGTAATGTTTATAATCTCTCTAGTGTCTGGGATTTTCATCCTGGATGAAATGAGGCTACAACTCCACTGATGAGGTTCACATTCAGTTCCTTTTAGTGCAAGAAAGGAGTAAACAAATATCTTCATTTTGACCCCCAAGTGTTCTCTCTCTGTTCACCTGTACCTCACCTCCAATTATTTCTTCCCCTTGTTTACTTTTAACAGACATGAAACACGACACCGCTGAAGATTTTGACTGGAGGACTGTTACCCATTAACCCAGGTCCTTTCAATATGATCAGGTAAGAAAGCTCTTGAGTTTCTTTTTGCTGCGTTACCAGCCTGTTTGTAGTGGCATGGTGCCATCACTGAGCTCTGACTTCAATAAGCATGTTAAAGGGTGCACCGTGCTGCCTCTAATCGAAATCCACATTCCAAAGCACGGCTTCCTTTGTTTACCACATAAGAGCCAGAAAATTACTGAGTTTTGGTGTCTAATTTTAAATAAATCAAGTTAAGAGGCTTTGTAAACACAGGCTTTGACATTTGTCAACTAACTTAATACCCAGCTGAATCCTTTATAAGGGCCTGTTTTGGGGACCTTTGTTTTTAATCATCAGGTTTCTAAGTTGTTCTCACCTTTCAATTAGGAGAATGGTGGCCACCACCCCATGGGCTTCTTTTACATTGTCTCCTAGTTCCCCTGTTCCCCACAAGGTGCTTTTCACACTCTTTCAGGGGCTGTGACATTGCATTGCTGTACCTTTAGTACAAATATCAGATAGTTTGTGCTGTGTGCTTTGATAAGTTGCTTCGGTCATGTCCACCTCTGTGAGCCTCTATGGACTGTAGCTCCCCCAGACTCCTCTGTTCATGGGATTCTCCAGGCAAGAATACTGGAGTGGGTTGCCATGCCCTTCTCCAGGGGATCATCCCGACCCAGGGATCGAACCCATGTCCCTTATGTCTCCTGTATTGGCAGGTGGGTTCTTTACCACTCATGCTGCCTGGGAAGCCCATCAGATAGTCTGGTGGGATATTATGTAACTAAATTTAAGAAAATGAGGTAAATAAACTGGATTTTTTTCCATTTTAAAAACTTGTTTTTAATTGGAGGATAATTGCTTTTACAGTATTATGTTGGTTTCTGCCATACATCAACATGAATCAGCCATAGGTATACATATGTCCCTCCCTCCTAAACCTCCCTCCCACCTCTCTGCCTCATCCAACCCTTCTAGGTTGTCACAGGGCACCAGTTTGCGCTCCCTACGTCATATAGCAAATTCCCAATGACTGCTTACATATGGTAATGTATATGTTTCCATGTTCCTGTCTCAATTTGTCCCACCCTCTCCTTCCCCCAGTGTCCACAAGTCTGTTCTCTATCTATTCATCTCCATTGCTGCTTTGCAGTAGGTTTCAGTACCATCTTTGTATTCCATGTATGTGCGTTAACACACAATATTTGTTTTTCTGACTTACTTCATTCTGTATAATAGGCTCTAGGTTCACTACCTCATTAGAACTGACTCAAATGTTTTCTTTTTTATGACTGAGTATATTCCATTGAATATATGTACCACAGCTTCTTTATCCATTCATCTCTTGATGGACATCTGTTAATAGGTTGCTTCCACATTCTAGCTCTTATAAATAGTGCTGCAGTGAACATTGGGATGCATGTTTCAATTATGGTTTTGTCAGGGTATGTGCTCAGTAGTGGGATTGTTGGGTCATATAGTAGTTTTATTCTTGGTTTTTTAAGGAACCTCCATACTGTTCTCCATAGTGGCTGTATCAATTTACATTCCCACCAATAGTACAAGAGTTCCCTTTTCTCCACACCCTCTCCAGCGTTTGTTTGTAGACTTTTTGATGATGGTCATTTTGATGAATGTGAGTTGATACCTCATTGTAATTTTGATCTGCATTTCTTTAATGGTGATGTTGAGTATCTTTTCATGTGTTTATTAGCCATCTGTATGTCTTACTTGGAGAAATGTCTGAATAAACTGGATTTTTATTTTTCTAGCATTATCCCTTCAGTACATTCACTGTCTACTTTGTTAGTTTCAGTTCAACAAATAGTTGAGTGCATGCTAAATCTCTATTTGATGGGGCTCAACAGTAACTCAACTTCCCTGGTGGCTCAGATGGTAAGGCGTCTGCCTGCAATGTGGGAGACCCGGGTTCAATCCCTGGGTTGGGAAGATCTCTTGGAGAAGGAAATGGCAACCCACTCCAGTATTCTTGCCTGGAAAATCCCATGGATGGAGGATCCTGGTAGGCTACAGTCCATGGGGTCCCAGAGAGTTGGACATGACTGAGCGACTTCACTTCACTTCAACGGTAATAGAATCATGACTGGTTATGTTAAAAGAGTTAGGACAAAGCCTTATGTCATCCTGCACATTGTTAGTGGAAAGGTTAAAGGAATGGCTGTATAAAGTTTTGTTTGTTAATATGTATTTATTTGGCTGCATCAGGTCTTAGTTGTGACCTACAGGATCTTTTGTTGCTGTGCATGGACCGTCTAGTTCTGGTGCATGGGCTCAGTAGTTGAGGGGCTTGGGCTTAGTTGTTCTGCCACATGTGGGAATCTCAGTTCTCCAGTTGCGGGTCAAACCTGCATCCCCTGTGTTGCAAGGTATATTCTTAACCACTGGACCATCATCTTATAGTTGGACTTAAGTCTCAAAAGTAGCTTGATAATCCTTACCAAAATGATAATGTTTCATTTGCATCACCTGAGTTGAAAAAATTCTGCTACCTGGGCTTTCAGTGATTCTGAATTGTAGCCAAGGTTGAGAACCACCAGCTACAGGTTACAGTGATGTGCGTGCATGCTCAGTTGCTAATTTGTATGTGACTCTTTGCCACCAAATGGACTGTAGCCATCCAGGCTCCTCTGTCCATGGGATTTCCCAGGGGAGAATACTGGAGTGGGTTGTGGTTTCCTGTTCCATGGGATCTTCCTGACCCAGGGACTGAACCTGTCTCCTCACTGGCCGGCAGGTTCTTTACCACTGAGCCACCAGGGAAGCCCTATATTGATGTAGGATTTACTATTAAAAGAATTATCAGAAAAAAATTTTTTTTGTTTTCTTCACTGATTAGCCAATAATCATTTAGTGTTATTAGTATTTGGTGGTATATTACTGTTTCTCCTAAATGAAAATCTACACATTCTGGCATCAGAAAAACCTGAGAAACTTGTTGAAGATTTGTATGCTTGCCTTCCACTCCACCCCAGATTTACTGAATCACAGTTTTTGGTGGGATTTTTTTTTCCTCTGGTGGTTTTTTTTTTTTAAGCCCCCCCCCCCCCCCCGCCCCCAGGAGATTCTGATGCCTACTAAACCTTGAGAACCTTGATGTAGATAAAACCAACCAAGTGCTTATTTTTCACATTTCAACTGAGTCAGCATTGTATTAGTCCTACTACAAAGCAAATTAGGCCTCAGTTGCTTGGAATCCTTGCACAAAGGGCACGTTCTATAACCTTAGTAATTTCAAAGTTCAAGAAGTTTCTAATAAGCACAATAAAAACTATTAGATGATAAAAACAGGACCTGACACCAGAGTGTTTCAAAGACCAGGTAATTATTTTATTTTTCTATATCTGACACTCAAATCATAGGGGGTAAAAAGATAATAGAACATAATCAAAATAACACACAAACACAATTCAAGAACATTTAACCATCTATTATAGCTGTTCTTTGTAAAATACATAAAGGTAAACAGAAACATCTTTATATAAATTAATGCTTAATGTAAAACAATTGTTAAAATTCACACTAAGATACTAGTGCAAGCAGTGGTGTACAAAAGTGCAAACAAGGTTAGTGATGAAAAACTTATCACTGACTTACCACTTCAACATACTCTGCATTCAGCCAAACACTAAAGGCCTCACCACAGAAAACACTTTGAAAGTCACCTGACTGCATTCACCCTGAGTGCTCTTGACTCAGTATGGCAACAGATTCTGAGTTCAGGTTAGGAGCAGCACCAGGGAATCCAGAAACCCAGGTGAAGTTGGCCATTCTGATGTGAATCTTTTCTAAAGATAATAATTCTCCATGAAATCACTCAAGAGCCTTTCCCATTTCTGTCTTAAAATCTATTTGGAGTGGGGGCACTCCTGAAACAAAGTTTACTTTGAATAAATTTGCTTACTTTACTGTGATTGATTTGGAATCTGTTTAAAGGTGTGGTCAAAACCCAGAATAATCTGAGGTATTAAATATATTATCTATTTAATGTTTTAAATTGTGAAGACAAAAATTAGTTGATTCAAAACTGCATCTTCAATAGATGGTCAGTAGTTGGTCAAATCAACAGAGGTCAATTCCCTTTATACTCAGGGATTTCCAGGTATGGGCTGGAGGTATGTGAGGGGGAATGGCTATAGGGTTTAAGAGTAGAAACATGGTTTTAACAAAATCCCAATCACTTTATGCAGAGGCACAGCCCCATATTTTTAAGAGCTTGTTCTTTTTTTCTTTTTTGGTTAAAAAAACTAATTTGCATTTCAAAAGGACAGTGACTGGAAAGACCAGAAACATTAATATTGGGCTTTGAGAATTTAGTCCTTAATTTAAAATGTTTTCTGAACTCTTACTGTCTATAACAAAAAAAAAAATTTTAAGGTTTATAGAAAACCTATAATTCCTTATTAATTTTATCCAGAAATTTATATTTGCTAATCTCATTTTTTCATGTTGTCTTGGAGATTTTTTTGAAACTTCACCAACTTTTACATATATTTAAAATGATTCAAACAATGTACTGTAAATCAACACATGATATTCTGAGAGACTTTCTTTTATATTAGCTTTGTCATTATACTTTGATCAAAATTTATTTGGCGATAGAAGCCTTGCAAACTTCAGTCATGTAAGTGACTAACAAGACTGAAACGCCACATTGAGACACATACCAAATACAGGTTCAGAAAATATAAACCTGTCTGCTCAAGCTCAAGTCATCAACTGGAGGTATTCTGTTTTTAATGATGGAACTTGTGAAAATGCTGGATTTTGAATGTGGTTAATCAAATCATTTTGCAGAAGACAAGAAACACTTTTATCGCAGTTATTACTCTATTTCAGTGATTTCCAAGTAGTTTATGTGCTGGAAAGCACTACATGTAGTGTGAGCCAGTTGAAAACTAAAGAAAAGAAACAACATTCTGTGTTTATGCTGTAAACCACAGTAAAGTTGTATATGTACACAGGCACACAAAACTAAAATTTAGATCTATGCAGGCAATACCTGAATTCATACTTCTTTGGCACTCAAGGATACTGGGTTAACTAAGTCAGTAGTGAAGAACATTTTTCATATTCTTCAGGGAATATCTGTGCCCAATTTTTAAAAATGCTATAATCTCCAATCTAAAAATTCATCAAGATAAACTGGAATCCATCAATTTAACCAGTTACAGAAAAGTATAATTAATAGCAGTCATTGAGACAGGTATGGCGTTAAGAATCTTTTTAAAAATATAAAAGCCAGCTGAGGCCATCTGTTTTTAGAGTTTTGGAATTAAGATTTTAAAACATATTTTGAACACTTCCTGATGTATATGGAATCCAGTCTTAACTTGTATATAATAGCGTTAATTACATTTTCACACTTTACCGAGGGAAGAACAAAATTAACTACATTTACCCCCAAAATACTCCACAAATGTACACACTTGCACAGGCACATACAGAATATATATTTTTCCCACATGCTTTTGCCATTTCTTGGCATTCTCTTAACTTGCTTCTCCTGATGGAAGCAGTGACTCTCTCTGTTTTCTAAGAAGCTCTCAGAGCTGGATGATAAGCCCAATGGCTAGGGAACTCTGAGGTCCATCTCCCTTCAGCTGGCAGGAAAGTGCAGCTTCATTTCCAGAGGTTCAGACTCTGGAAGACTCTTACATCATTGGGAAAATACCCACAGTTTAGCTGTGGTCCACAAAGTGACTCTGTTCCTTTGATCCCAGTGACAGACCTAGAATGAGAGTTCTGGAACAAGAGAGTTTGTGCCAGAAAGCAAATCCCCTCTAGAGAAACCAGTAAGCTTTTTCTTTTAAACGATTTATAACACAGTTAATTAACTTCTCAATTATCACAATAGATACTAGGAAATACTTGAAGAAAAGCATGTCCCTGTAAATATTGAAAACAGATACCATCAACAAGAGGCAATTACTTTGAATAAGGCTTAATTCTCTTCAGTCAAGACGTTAGAAATGAGAACTTTAAACATATCTGGCAGAATAAACCTAGAGGCTGAATGTCATTTCCTACTTTTCCCTGGTGTTACTGATGTTTTTAGGCAGGGAGAAAGCTTTTTTATTTTCCTTTAGAAGGAAGCTGAAAATGGAACAGAATAGCTGAATTCCTAAAGCCAAATGTCATGATGAAATGACCTTGTTGGTTTAGCTAACTAGTAATTCCTTCCAGGCATATCTTTCAATCCTTATTTGCTTTATATACAATATTATATTATTGATGACAGAAAGGACTATAGTTAACTCTGATTTGGACAAGAGCTAAATAAAACAGTAATTCTGATATTAAAATTACTCTTGATGGAATTGGAACAATCTATTCTCAATAGAATTGGTTAAATATACTATAAAACTTCGGTTTATGACCAAGAGAGGAAATCTTCATCTTCAGAGTCTTTAAAAATAAATATTTGGCACTTGTCTTTCAACTAATTATGGGAATCTCAGACATATGGGAAAAAAGAATTCAATTTCTTAGGAAACTAAAATGCTTTAAAAAGCTAACCACAATCTGATTAGAAAATCTTACCAGTGAGGCTTGTAAAAACTATCATGTTGCAAGCATGGTATCAAAAAACAGAAGCCTTTGTGTTATAAAGTAAGAACTGGTTGAGAATAACTAAGAAAAAAGAAAATTAAATACATGGATTCATTTTCTTTCCACCAAGAAATAAAATATACCCAAAATGCAAAAAGAGCCATAGGACAGGAAAAAAATCTTCAAATAACTCAGTGACAACTGAAGCAGAACATGCTTTCTTTATCCTCAGATGCAGGCCTCCACCATGCAACTGCACAACACCCTATGTGTCACTTGCCCTGCTGAATACCATTAAGTACCATTAAGTAAGACTGGGGAGTACCTCTAAGTGTGGGGAGACTGGTGCCTGTCATTATTTTTGGTGAAAAGGCAGATTACCAAACTGGGTGCCATTAAGATTGGAGCACTTCAGAATCAGACAACTGGGATTGGCTTATCAAACCAAAAATTAACCTTCGGTTATACCAGAACATGTGCTTTTTTTCAGAAGGCCGATCCCACAGGGACTAGGGCGTGGACCCCATCAGCACTGGTAATGGTAGTGTTACAGATAAAAATATACATGATTCAGACTTAAATGTGGTATAAGGTGCAACCAAATATAACTTGTCTCTAGATAAATGCAAAAGCCTGCAGGGACTTAAACATTATCCTAAATATTCTAAAGCAATCTCCTTTCCCCACAACCCTCATATATTTAATATTAAATATGCAAAACTTCAGAGCATACTAGCTAGATAAGACACATTAAAATGAAACATTTGCCCAACAAGGATGCCAAATATTAGGGTTTGTTTTATTGCATGACGTTTGCATAAGAAAAAAATAATTGAAACTGTAAGGCATCATGCAGTCATTTATAAGCTTATTATTAACTGCTTACTAAAGATAGGTGGACATATAATCTAAAATTTAAAAACTAGTTCCAAAAAATTACATAAAAAATTTAACATGATGAGCTTTTAAATATGGTTGCTATTTGTAGTTTCATGTTGTTAAAAAGTGCTTCAAATGTCGTCTGGAAAGTTGCTGTTCAAAAATGGTGCTGGGGGTAATGTCGCATTATAAACTGTAAAAACTAAGTATTTTTATGGAATTAGAAAGCTAACATTGTGATATTCAAACTTATTTGAATCAGTTTTCAATTCTCACTCAAATTAAGTTGATAAAATATTAATAATCTAAAAAACATCTGTTTTCTAACCAACAATAAAAGTCTATTGAATTCAAGTTATGCATGTTGATGATCAAATCTCTGAGTAGGCCTGAACGGTGAGACCTGGAACTGATGTGGGCTGGTGTTAATCAATGTACTGTGCCATCCAACGGAAGCCTTCTCCGTAGCCTTGTCTCTTGAGCACGCTGCACATGAAAACTTCTAAGGGCCGGGCATTCAGTTCTTTCAGAGATACATTGCCCTAGGAGAGAAGATGGGCATTATGTTGGGTGACCTCTTAATGAAATAAAACCCCTACTCCCTAGGAGAGCTGCAGTTCGTACATCTTAGAACAAAGGGTGACTGTGATAAAGCCATGCCTGTTTGTCACCCAAGTCCCTTCCCCTAAACACACAGGGCACCTCCTCTCACTCTATTGTAGGACAGATGTTCATTCAGTGGGATAGAGGTGAGCCTGTGAGGTGCACAAGAATGAAAAGAATCTGTGACTTTGAAAAAATTCAAGTTACCTGGGACAACTGGCTTCACTAATATTAAAAACAAACATTCTGAGAGTAGATTTATGACCTAACAAGGCAACTCTTAAAATTAATGTGGCATTGACTTATTAAAAAGACACAGAAAACAGACCAAAGTCTACCTTATCTAACATAACAGTCTCCTTCCATAGGCCGCCATATTGCTCTACTCTGGAATTTTTCAATCCTAAGGGCCTTCTGCAAAACAAATCTCAGTAAAAATGAATGCAAAAATAATGTGCGTTAAAGCTTAATTATGAAGTGTGTGTTCTGAAAACCCCATAACTCTGCTATAGCCAAGTATACATTTCATTTTTTATCTGTGGTGAACTCTGGACTTAAAACACTGAACCGGGGGCCTAAATACACTACTGGTATGCTTAAACATTCAAATATATTATTTAGTGGCTAATTCTGAAAAATTATGACAAAACTTTGAAAGCTTTCATTAAGTTTCCCATATGCATAGGCTGTGACATTTTTTTCTATCACCAAGAAAAGGTTGGTGATACTTTCAATACTTTGGCCACCTGATGCGAAGAACTAACTCATTGGAAAAGACCCTGATGCTGGGAAAGCTTGAAAGCAGGAGGAGAAGAGGATGACCGAGGATGAGATGGTTGTATGGCATCACCGACTCGATGGACAGGAGTCTGGGCAAGCTCCAGGAGTTGGTGATGGACAGGGAAGCCTGGCGTGCTGCAGTCCATGAGGTTGCAAAGAGTCGGACACGACTGAGTCACTGAACTGAACTGAAGAAAAGGTTTCATTGCATTCAGTGGTAGGAAGAAAACAAATGAGGACATTCAAAGAAGACCCAAATGTACCAAGGATAGTTTTTAAGATGAAAATGAAAATGGGCTTATGAGGTTGGACAATAGTAATTTAAAGATATCTGGGTGGACATCTGAAACTAGTATAATATATGTCAATTATATCCCAATTAAAGAAAAGAAACCAGACTACCAATTAGACTGACAAGCATGATTACTATTAACGGTAGTATGGGAACAGATCTTTTCAGAAGATAAAAAGTAAATAAAATAAAAAGATATTTGTACTACTGAATGAAGTATTCACACCTGTCAATTTTTTTTTTTTTACCTTTCCTGTTGTCTGACCATATAAACCAAACATCTCTCGCAACCTCTCTTCACTGATGGCTTCAGGCCTGTCAATCTTATTCCCAAGAATCAGTATAGGCACATTAGCAACAGTTTCATCTGTCATTAGTGACTGGAAAAAAAAAAAAAAAGCAAAATGAAAGTTAAGATGTTGATATAAAACCATCTAAAGGGCTCATTGTGACAACAGAGCAAATGGGCACCAAGGGCTCACTCTCTATCATATCCTGGCAGTTTGGCTTTCTTTGGTGAACTTTCCCTACATTTTAAAGTGAGCTCAACGATCCCATAGCTCAGTTCTTCTGCCTCTCTGAGTCCTTCTATAAATGCTCACTGTGACTAGACTCAACACTTTGAAGGTGTGCAGACCTGGTTTCATTTCTAATTCTGCTGCTTTTGAGTTGTGAGACCTTAGACAAATAAGGCTCGCTGAAGTTCAAAGAGAATATGCAATAGTAGCACCTACCTTACAGAGTTAATCTGAGAATTAAACGAGGTAATATGCATAATGCCTGGCACAAAATAGGAACAAAGGAATTCTCTGGCTCTGTTCCATGACCATAGAACTTACCAGGACTTTTCCACATGAATAAGTACTTGTTTGCTTGCTCTTGGTGGAGGTATAGTTGGGTCAACCTTCCATCAAATCATGGACCTCCTTTCTCTGTGGGCCCAGGTCTAGCACTGGCCTTGCCTACTGCTCCTGAGCCCCTTTACGAAGCATGTAACCTGGGAGATGGGAGAGGAGGTGGCTACACATGGCCTTGATCACTCCTGGGAATGGTGACAAAGATAGCATGTTATACTAGTTCCAGGTTCTGGCCAACTCCTGAAGAAACCACCTGGAAGACCAGGGGCTTAAGACCAAGTCACTACAGGAATGTAGCAGATATGAAATAAGCTACAAGGGCACACATTGCATAGAATGAGTCTAAGCCTTCAGGAAGGAAATCTTGTTAGTACTCCTCAACAGCCACAATTACTCCAAGGTACTCCCTCTGCATTCTAAGTAATCTCGGAACTCCACAAATTGTCAGGAGTTACATCAGAGGCTGCAGAAAAGCTACACTCTCATACCTACATTTCTAACCTATTTTCTCAGGCTTACCAGAGTCATTCAACTGTTTAGTTTTAATTATTTAACTTACATCAAGTTCTTCTTTTGATTCTAACAGCCTTTCATGGTCTGCACAATCCACCAGAAATACAATGCCATTGATAGCAGGAAGGTAGTTTTTCCACACTCTTCGAGCTAACAAAAACAATCAGGAGTTAGATTTTATTTGCTGGTCAAACCTAGCAGATGGTTTGATGGAAGAGTCCAAAAAGATATCAAGTGTAATTAGCCCTTAGCTGCTGCTACATCATTATATACTTGTTAATCTTTTACCCAGTATTGCCAAAATCTTTCCAGATGACCAAAGAAGAAATTACAGGTTTTCCTTAATTTGGTCAAGTCAAATATTTTAGTCTGCCCAGTTTACCCATGTCAGAAGAAGAATTAATATTTGCTTACTAATGGACAAGGATGCACATTAAGTTCATCGGAGGGACCACTACTATTTGTTATATGCAGTATTCATTTCTTTTTGACATTTCTAGTTTATCAGTTTTTTGCTAGTGATCAAGTCTGGAGTCAGTGACAGAAGGAAATTAGTATCAGGTTCAGACTTGTTACATTAAAAAATAAAGCAAATTGTTCTACTCATAGCACAAGTTTATGAAACCATTAGGGTAATTTTTTCCATGACATTCTCTTTTAGAAAAGAAAATATTTTTGAGGGTGCCCCAGAGGAAGGTAACTTTTTTCTCCTGGCTTCAGCTTTATAATACACCTTCATATAGAGATGAAGCCTCAACCTCCATTAGGTTCTAAATCTAATCATTCTATTCTAGGAATTAGTTTATGTATATTTTAAACAATTGATGTATATCTCAAATGTGCTTTCTCTAGCCACAACCTTTGTAGTATTCATTATTTATGAATTACTATGTAGTGGGTACTGCTAAGTCCTTTTGGGGATATTAAAAAGTAACTAGCATATCAATCCCAGAAAGTTTAGTAGAATCTGAAATAAGACAGTCATTCCAATCTTTAGACATGTATACAAATGTACTAATTGCTAGGTAAGTGCAGTTGAGAGCACTCCCAGGTGGGAGTGGCTTCTCAGAGGAGGCAGCCACACTTAACACTGGGCCCTGAAAGTGGGTTACCTGTGTGCTGATGGAGCCCTCATGAGCACAGAGGTGGAAGGACAGACACCAAGATGGTTTGGTTCGGTTGGAGTAAAGAGAATGAGAAAGGGAACAATGGGAAATAAAGACTCAAAAAGTAAAGTAAAGTGCGACCAGATCATAGAAATCCTGAATACCAGGTCAGTGAGTATGGCCTTTATTTAGTAGGTAATGAATTAGTCAATGAAGGCTTTTCATATGGAGCAACAGAAGCAATAACATATTCATAACATGATTATGACAGTAAGAGAGAGGTGGGCTGAAGAAGAGAAAAAATGGAGGCAAAATTTTACTCATATGGTTTATCACCAAAAGCAATTCAGACTTAAACTGGAGTATCATATGAAAATCATCCTTTGCATTTAAAGCATTTATCCAGGGGTGATAATTCCTAAATTTTAAGGCTACTCTGGCTTTCCTTGAATAAAATGCAGTTTCATTCACTGTAACATAATGGTCACATTTTTATTAAATAAAACAACTGTAAGAGAAGTAGAATCTCACCTTGAACATGTCCACCCAGATCAAAAGTTGTAAAGGTCATGCCAGCAATGGTTAGTTCTTCTGAAGCTAAATAATAATACAAAATGTTTTAAAAACATGAAAATTAGAAGTCCATTTCTGGCATATACTGCCACTTAAAGTTTGATTTACTTTAATTGCAAATAAGGTCAAATCAAAAAGGAATTCTTTGTTATAACTACTATATTCCATTTCATATTGCCAGTATAATGCAAGTAATTGGTAATATTCAATTCTAGTATTCAGTGCCCACCACAAATCCAACTTATTTTTCTTCCTCTATCCAGCTGAAATTGACAATGATTTACTGTAAATTCAAGTGACTGGTCTAACCTAATAATTTTTCCTGTAATTCATCTTATATGATGAAGGTGAAAAAACAGTATTTTCTCATGATTGTTATATTTCACAGGTGATGGTTTTGGGGCTTCCTAGTGGCTCAGGCCATGAAGAATCCGTCTGCAATGCGGGAGACCTGGGTTCAGTCCCTGGGTTGGGAAGATCCCCTGGAGGAGGGCATGGCAACCCACTCCAATATTCTTGCCTGGAGAATCCCCATGAACAGAGAAGCCTGGCGGGCTACAGTCCATGGGGTTGGCAAAGAGTCAGACACAACTGGGTGACTAAGCGCGCACACACAGTCTTTAATGGCAAACATAATTATAATAAAAAATTTGGCTATTATTTCTTCAAATTTTTTTTCTGCTCCCTTATTTTCCTGTCTGGGACTTTAGTGATAGGTTTGTTAGACTGCTTAAATCTTCCATTCTCTGCATATTTATGGAGCATATAAATGCTCCATTCTCAGCATATTCATAACAGCTGTTTTAGTGTTCATATTTCCTAATTCCATCATATTTTTTACTTGTGCCATCAATCTGCTTTTACTGATTGACTTTTCTTCTATTTAGGGATCACACTTTCCTGCTTCTTTGCATGTCTAGTAATTTTTTATTGGATGTTGGATTTTGTTCTATCATTTTCAAGAAAGTTGGACTTTGGGAACTCTCTGGTGGTCCAGTGGTGAAGACTCAGCCATCTCACTGTGGGGACCCTGGTCAGGGAACTAAGATCCTGCAAGCTCCAGGGCACAGTCAAAAAAAAAAACCACCAAAAAATAAGTTGGACTTTTTTTCTTTTAATAATAAGTTGGACTTTGTTCCTTTGTTCTGGCAGGCAGTTAAACTGCTTGCAGATCAGTTTTTAAGTTTTGTTACAGCAGATCTAAAGTAGCCTTTACTTTAGAGCTACATTAGCCTCATTACTAAGATGTGCTTTTTTGGAGTAGTCTGCAAGGTCTCTTTTTTCTGGCTGGTGGGTACATGGATTGATAGCTCCGTGTGAGCTCTAGGAATGAACTGGCCAACCACTTCACTATAACTGTTCTTTTGACAGGCTATGTGTAGTTTTACCCTATGTATGCACAGATTGGTATTCAGCCATGAACATTTCTGGAGCTCTTTCTCTACAGAGCTGTTTCCTCTGTGGTAATCTGCCCAGCAAATTCTAGTCACCTCAGCCTCCCCAAGTTCTGGTCTCTTGTCTCCTCAATTCAGTAAGACTACTGAGTTACCTTTGGGTTTCTTCTCCCTACACCATGGTCTTAAAATTAACCCCTATGATAAATGTTAAAACAGACAAGGGTTTGTTTTTCTTTTCTCAGGAATCATAGCCCTGTGCTAGCTATTTCCCAATATCTGAAAACAGCTGTAGTGTATATTTTTGTCCACTTTTCTAGTCATTTTTAGTGGGAGGGTAATTCCAACCTCCGTTATTCCCTCACGGACAAAAGCAGAAGGCCGCTACAATTACAGTGAAAGGTTCAGTACAACTGTTAACTATTCAGTATAGCTATGAGACCCCAGAGTAGTTTATCTTGCTAAAAAATTCTGTAGGAAGACTGCCAGCTGAATGAATAATTAATATAATTTGTGTTCAAAGCATGATCCTTTCCATTAGGAAAAGATAATGCTTGGACATGACTGGCAAACTATCTCTATGGTTACAATCTCTAGTACACTCCCTGCTTTATAAAATGAGTCCCAATTTGATTATGATACAGAACACTGTTAACATCCCAGAAAGTTCCCTCTTGCCCCTGCCGAGTCAGTTCACACCTCCACTCCCAGAAGCAAGCACTGATCTGAATTCTATCATCACAGGTTTGTTTTGCCTGTTTTAGAATTTTATATAAATGGCATCATATAGTATATAACTTTTGTGACCAGCCTCTTCCATGCAATATGTGTGGATCTGTACTTTATTCCTCTTTTTGTTGAATAGAATTCCATTGTTTATCCATTCTTTTTATGAAGGACATCTGAACTGCTTCCAGTTTGGAGTCAATACAGGTAAAGCTGGTATAACAAATATTCCTGTATGAGGATTTTGGTGAACATATTTTTTCATTTTTCCTAGATAAATATCTAGCAGTGGAATTGCCAGATCATAGGGTAGATACATGTTACCTTTCTCCCATATTCATTTAAATTATTTTTTATTGGAGCATGGTTGATTTATAATGTTGTGTTAGTTTCAGGTGTACAACAAAGTGAATCATATATATTTATCTGATCTTTTTCAGATTCTTTTCCCATACAGGTTATTTCAGAATATTGAGTAGAGCTCCCTGTACTGTACAGTAGTCTCTTGTTATCTATTTTATATATAGTGGTGTGTATATGTTAATCTGTATCTCCTAATTTATTACTTGCCTCATGTTTCCCCTTTGATAAAACATAAATTTGATTTCCGAGATCTGTGAGTCTGTTTTGTGAATAAGTACATTTGTATCATTTTTTACTACATTCCACATATGGCTGTTATCATATGATATTTGTCTTTGACTTACTTCACTTAGTATGATAAATCTCTAGGTCCATCCATGTTGCTGCAAATGGCATTGTTTCTTTCTTTTTTATGGCTGAGTGATCAATCCCTGGGTTGGGAAGAGACCCTGGAAAGGGAAATGGCGACCCACTCCAGTTTTCTTGCCTGGGAAATGCCATGGATAGAGGAGCGTGGCAGGCTACAGTCCATGGGGTCACAAACAGTTGGACACAACTGAGTGACTAAACAACAGCAATATTCCATGTGTGTATGTACTACATCTTCTTTATCCATTCCTCTGTTGATGGCCATTTGGGTTGCTTCCATGTCCTGACTATTGTAAACAGTGCTGCAGTGAACACTGGGGAGCATGTATCTTTTTAATTATGGTTTTTCTCCAGATATACGCCCAGGAGTGGGGTTGTTGAACCATATGGTAGTTCTATATTTAATTTTTTAAGGAACTGTCATACTATTTTCCAAAATAGTTGTATCAATTTACATTCCCATCAACAATGTAAGAGGGTTACCTTTTCTCCAAACCCTCTCCAGCCTTTACTGTTTGTAGATTTTTCTGATGATGGCCATTATGACTGATGTGAGGTGATACCTCATGGTAGTTTTGATTTGCATTCTCTAATAATTAGTGATGTTGAATGCCTGTTCATGTGCCTTTGGCCATCCATCTGTCTTATTTGAAGAAATGTCTATTTAGATCTTCTGCCCATTTTTTGATTGGGTTGTTTGTTTTCTTGACATTGAGCTGCACGAGCTGTTTGTATATTTTGGAGATTAATCCCTTGTCAGTCTCTTTGCAAATATTTTCTCCTATTCTGTGGCTTGTTTTTTATTTTATGGTTTCCTTTGCCATACAAAAGCTTTTAAGCTTAATTAGACCCTATTTGTTTATTTTTATTTTCATTACTCTAGAAGTCGATCAAAAAAGATACCGCTGAGATTTATGTCAGGGAGCGTTCTGCCTACATTTTCCTCCAAGAGTTTTATAGTATCCAGTCTTAATATTTAGATCTTTAATCCATTTTGACTTTATTTTTGGTATGGTGTTAGGGAGTATTTTTAATTTCATTCTTAAAAATATGGAACGCTTCATAAATTTGTGTGTCATCCTTCTGCAGGGGCCATGCTTATCTTCTCTGTGTCTTTCTAATTCTAGTGTATGTGCTGCTGAAGAGAGTACACATAATGCTTTTGATTAATTGAAAAATATAAGCTAAAATGAATATGAGATGCAGGAAGGTTGAGATAACATCTATTTTGTGCCATTGTTTTTACTCTTATTACTTACAACAATGTCTGACTTAAAGCAAGTGCTCAAAAAATATTTGTTGAATATATTAAAAAGAACATCATAAAATTGTAAAAGTGACTTACACCTAATATAAGACCACTGTGTAATCTCTTCCAATTCTGCTGTTTTTGCAGATAATTTTATATACTCAATTTCACCATGATTTTTCTTTAACAGTATTGTTCTTGTATCAGAATCTTATTTGTCAAGCCATACTTTCTTCTCCTAATGTAAAAAAAAGTATCAATTTTATGAAATCTTCCTTTTCCATCTTGACTCACTAACAGTTTTAGATAAAAAGGTAGTTTTTTTTTATGTTTTCCTTCCTTGTTCTTAGTATATTTACGGAATTAAATTAACTGTTGTATTATTTACTTTTTAGTCCAATTCTCAACTTTATACTCATTTTTAAGGCTGACACTCATTATTTCAAAATCTGTGGATTAGCTTGTCTTTAAACTCTCTGTGTAATTGATTCATAGTCTTTCCAACAGTAAAACAAGTTCATAAGTTTTTGTTGTTGTGCAATGCAGCCTGTGGGGTATTAGTTCCCCAACCAAGGACTGAATCTGTGTGCCCCGACACTGGAAGCTCAGACTCTAAACCACTGGACTTCCAGGGAAGTCCCCCACAGGTATTTTAAAATTAGACTTCTGTTTCTAATTTTAAAGTGACTAATTTTGTCACTCTAACTTGACTCTCTCAACAGTATCTATTACATAATCTTACTAAGAATGATACATATTAAGTGATTTACAGAATCATTATTAATGTCTTTCAATTGGCTTTCTAAAAGAAAGTACAGTAAATTATTTTTTAATTACTTTAATACTTTCTAGGGAATTCCCTGGTGTTCCAGTGGTTAAGACTTGGTGCTTTCACTGTTGTGGGCTCAGATTCAATCCCTGGTTGAGGGACTAAGATCCTGCAAGCCATGGGGCCTGTCTAAAAACAAAATAAAAGAAAACTTTCTATAAGTGTATCAATACATGCCCTGTTTTTTGGAATAAAAATTCTATGGTCTTTATGTTAGAAACAGTTCAGGTTGTTAGAACTAGAAAAATAACTGGTTAATAAGTTAAGAGCTACAGCAAAGTATAAGACTATATAATTTGTCCACTGAATAATGATTAAAATAGTACAGTTCTAAAATTTGAAAGAAATTTAAGTTATATAAGAAAGGTAATGCTGACTATTTATAACCTAAACAATATGTGGTTAAATATACTATCATAATCCCTGAGACAATAACTTTTTAACTCCTCTAGTTGGACAAAGGTATACTAACTATGAGACGATATGAATATTATTTCAAGATCTAAATATACTCCCTGGAGTTCAGTCACTTATCATTTACTACACTAAGAACAAGTGAAATGACATGATCATAATTTATCCACCAAAAAACAAACAAAACCTTTTGGTTAGGGCCTATGAATTGGAATCACTTCATCAAGTAACACACTGTATGGGAGAATATACTTACTGGGATGTAACGTGGGCACATGTTGTCCAAGTCTGTCATCTTTTAGCATGTGTAGCAATGTTGTTTTTCCTGCATTATCCAATCCAAGAAATACCAATTTACCAGTTTTCTTATATAATCCTGCAGAGTAAGAGCTATGATTAGTCAGTGATATCCGACACAGATTATAGAAATAAAATGACTTTAAATAAAAGTATAATATCTTCACAATTTAGTTATTTGGATACTTTTCCTAATTACCCCAGATTTTTTATAAAGAGACACTTATTAACCTTTTGAACTTCTAAGATTTTATAAATTGGCCTGAAAAAGCTTGGATTTCTAATCCATTTTTAGTTTTGAAGAGCTATTTTAAATCTATTACGATTTAGGACGTCAGATCATTATAAAACTAAACTTTGCCCCAGTCAATGAATGTATGTGACCTAAACTTATCTTGCAGTACCAAAATGCCAATTCCCTTGATGATTTAACTTAAATCCTCTTTTAATTTACCCCTTGAAAAATATCTGTGCCCTCTACTAGAGAAACATAAAATACTTAAGATTATATATTTATGAAGCCTATACCAAAAGAAAAAATAGAGGTTTTTCATTTTTTTCACAGGTAAAAATAAATAAACTATTTTTGACAATCAAAACTACAGTGAGTTTTTTTCAGTAAAAAAGTTTCGTTCACTGTCAAATTTACCTGAGAATAAGGTTAAACTATTCACATGACTGCGTAAAACTAAGCAACAACAAAAATATCCAAGCACATAATTTAAAATATATCAATCAAGCACTGATAGCTAAAGTGATAAACAGATAAAGACAACACTGACTAGTTTACAGTAGACTGACATTTATTGCAGAATTCCATATTGAGCTTTTCATATATATATATTTTAAAGACTTTTCTTAGAGCACTTTTAGTTTTACAACAAAACTCAAAGGAAGGTACAGATATATCCCATATACCTCTGTCCCCACATATATAGACTCTCCCCCAAAAGAGGACAGAAGTTTAATGACTTATGTCTATCATTATACAGAATATTTTCACTGCCCTATAAAGTCTCTGTATTCTGCCTATATATCCACCCTACCCACGGTCCAGCAACCACTCATCTTTTTATGGTCTCCATATTTTTGCCTTCTCTAGAATGTCATGTAGTTGGAATCACACAATATGTAGCCTTTCAGATTGGCTTCTTCCACTCAGTAATATGCATGTAAGGTTTCTCCATGTATTTTCATGGCTTCATAGCCCATTTTCTTTCTCATGCTGTATAGTATCCCATTATCTGGCTGTCAAGTCAGTTCAGTCAAGCTTAGTCACTCAGTCATGTCCAACTCTTTGCAACCCCGTGAATCGCAGCACGCCAGGCCTCCCTGTCCGTCACCAACTCCTGGAGTACCATAGTTCATTTATCCATCCACGAACTAAAGGACATCTTGGTTTCTTCCATGTTTTGGCAATTATGGCTAAAGCTGCTGTAAATATCTGTGTGCAGGTTTCTGGCTGGATCTAAGTTTTCAACTCCTTTGGGTAAACACCAAGGAGCACAACTGCTGGACTGAATGGTTTAAGAGTATGTTTAGTTTCATAAGAGAACAACAAACTCTCTTCCAAAGTGGTTATACCATTTTGTATTACCACCAGTAATGAATAAGAATTCCTGTTGTTTCACATCCCCACCAACATTTGGTATTGTCATTTGGTATTGACAACATTTGGTATTGTCAGCATCTGAATTTGGGGCATTCTAATAGGTGTGTAGTAGTATTGAACTTTATTTTTCATGCATTTAATTGTCTTACGGAATTATATAGAAGTACATGAAGACAGGAAACACAGTAGCAACTCAAAAAATTTAATCAGTAAGTGAAAATTTTAAGATATTAGGGAATTACAGATTGGGCTATCCATTTTCTAGTAAGTTCACGCCAAAATGTAACATTTAGTTATATACCCACATTTAAGTCTAAGAAGTAAATTTTTTTTTAAGTCCTAATCTTTTGATCACCTATCAACCAACAACCTGGATCCTAAGGAGAAAATTATCTTCCACAGTCATTTGAGCTGGGATACTACAGCTCTCCTTTAATTATGAATACTGACTAATAATCTCCTTAAACATTTGTATTTCTTTAAAAGGTTTCTATATAGATTGTTTCTAACCAATGCACTCAGTCTTACCACCTTAGCTTTTAAATAGTAAAAGTGTACCGGATAAGATTCCAAAGCGGAACAGCTAGAGCATTTAATCTTTCAACTGGATTTAACTAAGTTTCTGTTCGGTGGTAGGCACTATTAAATACTTGCATACATTATTTCACTTAATCCTCAACTCTGTATAGGAGCATCATTACTGTCTTTTTTACAGAGCAGAAATGAAGACTCAATTAACTTATTTACTCAAATGCTGAAGTCAGGTCTGAGATTTGAACCCATGTCTGACCCCAGACCTTTGGTTCACTTCCATTTCTCTACACTGCCTCCTGATGTTAGCTCTATTAACTTTCTTGTTCCTGACTATGATGCAGTCTTTTTTGCCTTTTCAACATAATTCAGGATAGATTCATTGTTCTGTAAACTGAGATACAGATTCCAACCTGTTATAATCCAAAACGTCAGCAAAATAAAGTTTAAAAACCCCTATTTCTGACCCAGTTCTTACAAATATGTGACAAAATACTTAAGGATTCTCTTGGAGGTAGTATAACAAGATCTGACATTTGACCTGTGGTAGAGCAACAATATAAAATAATGTGAGGAATTTTATTTTTAAAACGTAAAGGAAAACATCCTGAGTTTTTTAAAATTTGCAAATATTAAGGTTCAACTAAGAAATAAAAATACAGTGACAAAATTTGATCTTATACTTTTATCCTTTTAATATATAGTAGTCAAAATTTATATTTCCCAAGCAAAATTTACTTCCTCAGTTAAGATTATGTTTGTGGAGAAAGAAATATTTATATAGAATATATCATTCCATAAGTACAGTTGTGGCCAGTTTGAACTATGTTTATCAATCTGTAATTACATGAAATGCTTCTCTTTCTGCCAGTTCAAATTAGAGAAAAATCTGAAAAAAGGGGACTAGAAATATTTTAATTAATTACTACAATAGTAAAGTTGTGTATATACCAACATAAAAGTTAATCAAAAGTCTGTCTTTGGGGGAAAAAAAAGCCTATTTCACTGAAAAATGTGAGAAGTCAAGGGTGTCAATAAAAGAAGAACGTTTTTCCTATCTGTAAAATCTATAAAGAGAAGAAAATCACTAGTCAGAATCTCTGGGTGAACAAGTCTCATTTAGTAGGTTAAAAAATGCCATTTATAACATATGAGGTACTTGATGGAACATGCATTTTTATTAAAAAAGCAAAAATAATAATGCCTTGGATTCCTGTGAGGATTACCTGAGATAAAGGATGTAAAGCTCTTATGGAAACTGGCTAATAAATAGTAGCTATTCCTGCTAGTAATATGCTTATCAACAACCTTAGGAGGTAGGAATTATTATCATTTTACACATAAGGAAATTAAGGCTAAAGTGGAGAAAGCAATTTATCTAAGATTACTTCATAACAGGTATAATGAGTAGTTGAATTTGTTTGTATGATTCCAAAGCCCACATCTGTAACTAAAGGGTTACATATAAAGAGGCTCTAGACAAATAAAAGACACTTTTATGTAAGTAGGATTAAATGGGATAACAAAAGAGAAAAAAGGGCCAACATTACCTAAAAACTGTAGCACACTGCTGAAACCACTGTAAATCCAGTCAAATATGAAGGACATAGCCAAATCTTATAAGGTCTGGAAAAAAAAGTGGGATTTAGTGGTCAATATTAAATAGCAATGACATTAAACATCAACTGTGAGTAAATAATTCTACAGCAACCTTACTACAAAGAGTTAAATACTCTTCCAGGCCAGTCTAACCTGGTCTATACTGATACATAAAAAATAAAATGCCATTAAAATACCATGTAGAGACCTGCCTAGCAAAGTAGCAAACATGAAAAATAATTATAACAGTCAAAACTAGAAAAAATGTGGTAAAAGAAGCATTATTAATGGCAGTATAAACTGGAACAAATCTTTTTTAAAACCAATTTGGCAATAATGTATCTGGTGATACAAATTGACCCAAGAATTTTAGAAATTGTCCTAAATATGGAAAGGCTTTATGTATAAAGATGTTCATCAAAGTGTTACATAATAGAATTTTTAGAAATAATCTATGTTCAATAGTAAATTAAATTCTATTGCCTATGAAATATTTACCAAAAACCTTGGAGTAGAGGGAAAGACAGGAGCCAAAAGGAAAAGAGAGGAAATTTATGATCATGAAATAAGTTTCTGAATCTGATTTTACCTATGGGGAGTAAAAACTCTTTTTCTTTTTGTTTGGGTCTTTTGTAGCAGTTGGTACCAGACAGTATATTTCTGGGTTTATTATCTTTTTGCATTTTTCAAATTGTAATCATGTTACTAAATGTAAAAAAAAAAAAATTACTAAATCAGACTAGAAAATGCAGGGTATAGTTCAATTCAGCATTTACCTGACATGTACTTAATAAACTAATATACCTAATATGAAAAACAAGAGAAAATGTATCTTTAGAAAAGAAGTATCATTTATAAAAAAATATGCTTTCGATCAACGAAGTTCATTTTCTAGAGCTGAACAAAAGAACCTAGGCTCCAAACTAGGGCCAACTCTGAAAAGTTTGAAGGGTTGTGCTATCTTTGCTATTCTTTAGACAAAGTACAACACATAGCCCTCCTTTCTTTAGGCACCTCTCCTCCAAAGTGGGCTAAGCTGGACAAAGATGGGCCCACCAGGCTCAGAATTTCCTAGAGGGTCAAGATGTTGAGACCACATCACCTTGAGAGTGAGAAACAGAGAAGCGACAGCCTACCTAGTTTGCACAAGGCCTAGCAGTATTTACTAAGAGACTCCCTGGAGCCTGGCAGTAGCTTCTCCCCTCTTCTATTAACTTCTTGCTTGTACCAGCATAAGCAGAATTTTGTTCTTACAACCAGTTGACTTCCAGATTAACACTGGCAAAATAAATAGTTTCATTTGTCAGTATCACAAGAATGTGATACTGTAACTACAACAGTGACATAATTATGTAAGAATAATCTATTACCTTAGAAGTTGTTATTTTACAAGTTGAAAATTACTACTCCTTCTACTATTATCATTTTAGGTCATGGATAAATTGAGACTTAGAAAAAATATATACAAGTGGCTTATCTTTTCTGAAGATTTTTAGGTATATGCCTTTCGAAGGAAACCATAATAATTTTCACTGTAGAGAATCAAATAAAGCAGTGGTGTGTTGAGTTTTTTTCCTTTCTAATTCAATACATACTTATCTAGCTCATATTACATCCAGGGTCCTAAGCTGGACATCATGGGGAATACAAATACTGATGACAAACATGGCTCATTCTCTCAAAAAGGTTATAGAGTGATAAATTAGCTACACAAATACAACTAAACTGAAAAATGTTAAAGCTGAATAGGATATTATCTAAAATGGTAACAACTCACCCTATAGGGTTTCAAGAATTATTCAAGCACAAGGCGGGGGAAATGCCCATATTGTAAATCCTAAGCTACTAGGGGAGTAATGATCATAAGAGCATAGAGACAAAACAGTTACAGTAAATAACAGAGAGATGACGGGGGCTTCCCTGGTGGCTCAGTGGTAAAGAATCCACCTGCCTGTGCAGGAGACACGGTTTGATCCCTGAGCTGGGAAGATCCCACAAGCTGCGGAGCAACTGAGCCGGTGCACCACAGCTATTGAGTCTGTGCTTTAGAGCGGGAGCCACAGCTATTGAGCCCATGGGCCACTGAAGCTTGTGAACCCTAGAGCCCATGTTCCCCAACAAGAAAAGCCACCATAATAAAAGCCTGTGTACCTCAACTAGAGAGTTGCCAGTGCTTACCACAACTAAATCAAAGCTCATGGAGCAACAAAGACTCACCACAGCCAAAAATAAATTATAACAACAACAAAAAGACATGAGGTATGTGTGTGCATACTAACAGAAAGAGGTATAGTGAAGTGAAAGTTGCTCAGTCATGTCTGACTCTTTGCGACCCCATGGACTGTGTAGTCCATGGGATTCTCCAGGCTAGAACACTGGAGTGAGTAGCCTTTCCCTGCTCCAGGGGATCTTCCCAACCCAGGGATTGAACTGAGGTCTCCCGCACTGCAGGCGTATTCTTGACCAGCTGAACCACCAGGGGAGCCTGAAAGAGGTACAGTGCGCTCACAAATGACACTTTATATTATGTATAAGAGCGAGAGAAACCAGTCCTGCTTGTCTCGACATTCAGAGTCCTATTTTCTCAGTTCTGTGGTGACAACAGGGTACAGCTAAGGAAAAGGATGGTGATTGGGTACCACAGCCTAAATGGCTACAGCAAAAAGCCAGGAATTGTTAGATGATGTAACTGGGATTAGGGGATGGAGACTGAGAGTAAAAATCAATGGGTGCTGATTAGTGATGCAGAAGCCAGACTGGTAAACAAATCTGAGATTAAATTTAGACATTTGGTTTTCATGCTGGCTACTTTTAATATGTGAACATAAGAAAAAATGCTGAATCTGCATTTCAATTTAATAAAACGGAGCAAGACAAAAAAATACCAGCTACCATTTATTAAACCTCTGTGAGCAGTATGATCTAGAGGTTAAGAGCAGTAGCTCTGGAGCTAAGACTTTACTAATATTTTAAGTAACTTATTTCACTTTCCTCATCTGTAAAATGGGGATAACAATACCTATCTGAGATGGTTGTTGTGAAGATTAATTACTACACACAAAGCATTTAGTACTGAGCATGGAGGAAGCACTCAATTTTAACTGCTATTATTATTATTTCTTCCACTACGTGGCCTACAGTATTAGGCACTTTACAAATATCATCACTAAACACCTCAACAACAACAACAAAATCAACAACAATAACAAAACACCTCAACAACCTTTCAGAATAAATATATTATTGATTGCATTTTTCAGAAGAAGCTGAAGTTACAAGTAAAATTCAACTTTTAGTGATTGGCACATCTAAGTTTCAAGCATGAGTCTGACTTCCACATCCATCCCCCTTTTCCTTACATTGCATTGGCTCTCTAAAGCTTTATAACAATAGTTTTAAAGGTTTAAAGTTATTTAAATTATTACATAACATTTAAAAATTACTCCAGCTCATGACTCTGACATGTAATTCCTTCTTCTCCCTCACATCCCATGGCCAGTCATTCCTTAGTTCTATCAATTTCTGCATTTTCTTTGATTCTCAAGGAGCCACCTGGTCAAAATCCTTGTGTCACTTTCCTAAATTACCATCTTAACATCAAAATGTGTTTCTACCCAGTTGTACATACCCTCCAGAGTAGCTTCACCAAAATGTCATCTCGGACTTGTTGCACAGTCAGGGTGACTGTAACTCCCAGTTGGCTGGGGACAGTCTCAGTAAAGTTTTCTCAGTGTAATCATTAATAGTGCTTCCCTTCTCAAAAGGGTCCTGATTTAGGTGTTAAATTATATGGCCATTCTGCTTGTGGATGGAGAGCCAATGGAGGTTTGTGAGCTGAGAGATGATACAGTCAAACTCCTTGGTCCAGTGTTCCACATCCTACTTATAGCTACCTTTCCAAGCTTATAATACATATCACTTCCCTACTTGTAGCTTTCCCTGGGCTAAAGTAAACTGCTTGCTGGCGACCTGTACTTTACCTTAAAACATCTGCCCATTATCCTTCCCGGCATCAGAATGTTTTCCCATCATCTCTGCCTAGAGTCTCCTTGCCAAATGCTATGGAAGAAATTAATTCTCACTTGAGATAGTCTTCAAGGTACAGATACAGGTGGAAGAACCAACAGAACCCAGGAAGGGTAAAAGAACTAGAAGAGACAGGCAAGAAAAGAAGTCAGTCACATTATATGCAGAGATGTCACTGCTAGCTTTGGTGACACGGAGGCAGCTGTTCAGAGCCTGAGCAGCTCGCAGTGACGTGGTAGTACAGGAGAGCCGATGGCCAGGACTTAAGTCCCAGCAGAGCTGTGTGACCCTGAACAAGTTAAAATCTCCCGGGGGGTTTTATGAGCAAACAAGATAAAACGCACAAAATAAGTATTTAAAATCTGGCCTCTGTTATTGATATTATTGAGAAGAGAATGAGATGGAAGTTAGCAGGTGGAGGCAGTGAGGAAATTCTTCTGGCAAAAAATTCGAAATGGGGTGAGGGAAGTGAGATTTTCTTCTTAGGGGAAGGTGAGGCTTGATAATGTTGATAAACCGAAAGGAAGGAGCTAGTGGCAAGGAATAAGTTAAAGATGAGCAAGAGAGGGAATTAACCAAAAGGGGCAAAGTCTCAAGAGGAGCCTGGGCAGAGAGCACGCTCTCTTTCTCTAAGATGAAAAGGAAGGAAGGCCAGGAAAGTTGAAGGAGTGTAGAGAAATTCTGAGGAGCAGAGTGAGGATTAGAATAGCTACTGTGGGGGAAAGATCAAGTTAAAAGATGGCTAAAAAGAGCCAATTGCTAAGACTGAAACATTCACAGCAGTGCAGTCTGCACTGACTTCTAGCCCTCCCGCTGCTCCCCCGGCCCCGCCCCAGCAGTGCTCAGCTTTAGAGAATAAGGAGCAAATGTGTATTAGGGACTTCCAGAAGAGCAAATGAAAAAAGGGGAACAAGAATTTGAGAGCACTAGTGACAGAGGCTGAAATGGTCTGATGGGAAGTTCAGGCTGCGTAGATAGTTACA